GAAGCATTTGCCCAGTGATTTTCGTGGCACACTGTCTGTAGCAATCACTTCCTGGCTGAGCTAATGTGTGCCAGCCGATCGCTGGTGGGGAAGTGCTCCCCCAACCACTGACAGCCGTGCTTCACTTTGCAAGGGAGAGTGGGAGAGAAGAAACCAGCTGACGTTATAGGGATAGAGGCCGGCCTAGAAGCTCTTGATCAAGCCATCCCCGGTATCTGATATTCGGCCTGCACGACGATCGATCTCGCGGGGAAGCCGAAACTAAAAAAAAAAAGGTTGCCTTGGTAGGCTAACCAAAAGAGGACGAAACGTCGCTCGACAGGTTTTACTGTGCCGTGTGTAGGTTTGTATGTCATAGAAGTACCTCGGCCGTGGCCGGAGTTGCCGGCAGGGTGATTTGAGCCCTGACTGGACGGCGCTGATGAATAGCCGACTGGATACATGGCGAAAGTGACAAGCCACTGGCGTTTGCGCATTGGTCTCTGATAGATCCGAGTTTGGTTGATTAGATAGGCAGTCTCATGATAGAAACACATGCATGGCCTACTAGCATAGTCTACATACCTCCCAACTCTGACGACTTCTTAAATGGCATGAGGTGTCTCAGTTGGGCAATGAAGCTTTATTCACCAACTCTGCAGGCCCCCGCAAAGCTTCAATGACGGCGGCGAAGCCTGGCCGGTCGGACGGGTGAGGTGCCGAGCATTGTCGATGGATATCCTGCAGCTGCTCCCTCACCTCTGCATGGTCGTCGTGGCTACCGCGGCCCATCAGCCCCAGGACGTCTTCGATCAGGTGCGAAAAGGCCAGCACCTCGAGTTTCTCTAAAAGCGGGAACCGCTGGTCGCCGTAGATGGTGGCGGCACCCATGTCCCCAAGTAGTGCATGGCCATCACCGCTGACGAGGATGTTGTGCGCGTACAGGTCTCCGTGTGCGATGGCGTTGGCGTGGAGGTGTCGCGCCGCTGATGCGATACCTGACAGCACACCCATAGCGGCCTCGGGCGAGAGGGCAGCATCCGGATCGTAGTGGTCTCTCGTGCAGCTTTCCAGCGTTGGGGGCTTGCCGAGAGTACGGTAGAAGGGAGGAATCAGCTGCATGACAAGCCCGCCGCGGAATTCCTCTGCCGACGCGTCTGGGTGGCCGTGGATTCTCCCCAGGGCATCGATGAGGTTTTCATGAGAGCCCGCCGACATGCAGACTTCGAGTTCATCGGCGGGAGTGCCATCGCTCGTGAGCGAGCCCTTGAACAGCTTGACTGCCACCTCCTCTTCCGACCTGGACCCTTTGGAGCACCGACGCACGCCTTTGGAAATGATGCCAGAGGCACCTTCACCCAGTATGTGGTGGATCTCGAGGTTGGACCAGTGAATTTGGGGGAGGCTCATTGAGTTCCGCCGAGCTCTGCCCGAGTTGAACCTTGTGGAGGCGCATGGGTTACCAGCAAATGAGAGAAATGCCAGCTCCGGAAGTTCAAATAGCCAGTTGGGGAGCTTCGCGAGGCGATTCGCCGAGAGCCGCAGCAGGCCGAGCTTCTGGCATGAGGACATTTCGTCTGGCAGCTCTGTCAGGCGGTTGCCCGCCAACATGCACTTCTGGAGTCGCGAGCAGGTCCCGATGCTGGCAGGCAGCCTTTCGATCTGGTTGTTGGTCAGAATCAACCATCGAAGACGCGGAGGGAACGAGTCCTCTGGGACGGTCGTCATGCCGTTTCCACGAAACGCGACCATCTCGAGAAAAGGGCATCCCGCCAGCCCCCTGGGGAACGTGGCAAAGTTGCAGTCGGAGAAGAAGGCGATCTTGAGCCGAGGCAGCCGAGTGCCAAACTCATCGGGCAAGGTGGACAAGCCCGTGCCTGAGAGGTCCAGATGCTCCAAGGTCTCGCCAAGCTCAAGGATTTCAGTTGGAAACGATTCTAGAGGGCCAACCAACTTCAGCTTAGCCAGGCCGCTGGTCTTGTAAGTCCCGGAGCGGAGAGCCTCCAAATTGTGCATGTTTGAGGCTTGGTCGATGGCTCCGCAGGTGATATGAAGTATGGTTTCTCGGTATGGCAAACACCACCACGGTATCGGAGGAAGAGTCTCTGGAAGAGCCTCTGGTCTGCTCCGGCCTGGGTCGACGCCACAGTTTCGTTACCGCCATTCTGCATGATTCAGCCAGATACGGTAGCCACTTGCGCCAGACAGATAAGCCATGATCCCCACGTGGGAAACCGAGGCTGACAAGGTCTGGCCTTTGCTTGGACCCATGCGGCTAAGAAGAGGCAGTGAGTTCTCGGCTGCACAAAGGGGATGATACTCTACTCGATAAGAATTTTGTTCTGGAGGAGACAGATCCCGGCAACAGACTGCCCACGATAGCGATTGACAGGCTCCAGCAAGATGGAATGAGGAATCGATGCAGCCAAGTTCCAGGCCCAACCATTGGTGGGGGGCGGGCATGGGGGTCACTCGCCAGGAGTTGGCGCACGACCCACAATTCGGCAGAGCACGCTTCGCGGCGCGCCTTGTCTGGGAGGGAAGCAACTTTCGAGCCGCCGCCCAGGTGAACAGTCCGTGATGCAGCTTTGCGCCCGCCACCCACCCCGACAGCGCATCCCAGATTGCCGACCCGAAACGCGCGACCCTAACGGGCGTTGCTCCTGATCGTTCCTTGATGACATCGCTACATTGAGCCTCGCGACAATGGCTTCAGGGCCGCTGAAGCGACTCTCCCCCTATGGAGACGATGAACTCCCCACTGCCAAGCGGACTCGGACAGATTCAACCCTCACCATCGTCGCCGCTCCCGATCCCAAGCCAACAGGTGCCCAGCCCGTGGCCGAACTCACGAGCATGGAAGAGCAGGCCCGGAGCGGGCTGCGACGCAGCATCGCGCTGATACTACAACATGTTGGCTTCGACTCGACGTCGGGGCCAGCGCTGGAGCGCCTGACGGAGATGACAGAAGAATGTGAGATACTATGCGCCAGGACAAGCAAGCCAGCGTGGGAGGCATGCATGTGCTAATCCATCTGGCGCCCCAAACCAGACATGCTCATGTTCAGTGGCGAGGTCATGCTTTTCGCCTCGGCCGCCCGACGATCACAGCCCATCCCTACCGATTACGATATAGGACTAAAACGCGTGAACCTGGGCACCGGGCTGCTCAAGCCGCATCTGAAGCCGCCGATACCGAAACCGAGGATAACGCCGACCTACGCAACCCCCGCGGGGCTCGTCGACACGCACCAGAAGGGTCTGCCGTTGCTGGGAGAGGAGCTGAGCGGCCGGCCAGAGAAGGAGGCCAAGATCTACATCCCCAAATCGTTCCCGGACTTCCCCAGCATTCACACCTACAAAGCGACGCCCCAGGACACGGACGAGGTGACTGTACAGGGCACGGGTCTCAGGTGGAGCGACGACGGCACGCCCGTGGTTGGGGTAGAGCACGACCTAGCCGCCGCCGCCGCCGCAGCGGAGGAGGCGGCCATGCCCGGCGCCGCAAGAGACCCTAGGCGCGTGCGAGAGGCATCGGCTCGGGAGTCCAAGCAGGCCGAAGAGGCGCTGCGTCGGGTCGTGCGCGCCAGCAAGATCAACACGCTTAAGGAGGCGCGCCTCGCTGCCCAGCGCGGGAACCACAGTCGCCGCAGGTACGATTTCTGGGAGGAGGCGATGCGCGAGATGGTCGAAGAGGGCGCGGGGGTCAAGGCCAACGGGAAGGGCGGTTCTCTCGGCCTCAGTCTCGGTGCCGGCGCCAGCAAGTCGCTTGGCACAAGCAGCAGCGCGAGGAGCGAAATCGCGGACCACAGTATGATCGTCAACGCACAGAGGTCGCACCACCGCCAGGAAGTCTCGCGCTCCGGCAAGCGGGCACATGGCGACGCTACGGCGGGGAAATAAGCCTTCCTCGTTCTCCGAGCCCGTTCTCGGCGTATAGATAGTTCGCTTGCCGGGGTGGGCTTTCCACTCATACCTTCTTCCGTTTCCTTTACTACTGGGGCACATGCGGCGTCATGAAATAGAGACCACGGCATTTTGCGCGGAGTTGGGTGTACTTTTCGGTACTTGGGTGCCATCATTGGAATTCCTCTTTTGGCTTTCTTTTTTACAGTGTAATTTTATATCAATATCATGGCATGATAGCGTGCCTTCGATTTTGATACCCGAGAATGTCTTGGGGAATAATCGAGGCTCATCCGGCACGTCCCTTTCTACCCGCTTCTCCATCGCCGCCACCTCAAGAAGGTGTCGCCAAATGAAATGTGGGCCTCCTGATACGAGGCTTCATTCGGCCGCGATTACATCGGCCGCCATTGGAACTGCTCACTCTGCCTGCCTGGCGGCGGAACCCACGCAAGAAATCGCATTGACGGCGTCTGGGTGGGGCACTTGCAGGGGCGGCAGCGCGGGCACACTATTGGCCCGCCTGCCCCCACCACCAAAAAATCGAGCTTTGCCCGCAGACCCTAAGACCGAAAACGCACACTTTTGAGGAATCTCGCTTGCCTGGGAATTTCGCTGGGAATTTAACGACCGTTGGCGAGAGAGCCTCATTTCATCTCCGTCTCCAACCCAATTGACCTCTCGGCCTCCTCTCCTATTCCTCACCCTGCTATCTTGCAAATATGGCGGAGCAGCTGATCCTTAAGGGCACCCTCGAGGGCCACGTACGTCCACCCTTTGTGCTCAGAGCGAGCGAGCAATGCTCGAAGATGCCCCTCCTCTGCGCGCGCCCGCGCCCGTGGAGGCTGCTGCGACGCTCCGGCTTTGGACCATGAGCTGACTTTTTTCTTCCTTCTGCCTTGTGTAGAATGGCTGGGTCACCAGCCTGGCTACCTCTATGGAGAAGTACGCTTCCCCCTCCCCAACGGCCGCTGAAAACCTTGTGGACAACCTGCTCACCAGCCTGTGACTTCAGCCCCAACATGCTCCTGTCCGGTAGCCGCGACAAGACGCTCATTATCTGGAACCTGACCCGCGACGAGACCTCGTACGGTTACCCTAAGAGGTCGCTCCACGGCCACTCGCACATCGTCTCCGACTGCGTATGTTCTCCCGACGCGATTTCCCTTCACCCATCGGCGGCCATCTGCAGGTGTTGAAAATTTCAGTGGGGCGGGCTTTTGGCGGCATCTGGGGGCTCGGGCTGATCCTGGGGCGTCTGTTTCTAGGTCATCTCGTCGGACGGCGCCTACGCTCTGTCGGCCTCGTGGGACAAGACCCTGCGCCTGTGGGAGCTCGCCACCGGCACCACCACCCGCCGCTTCGTCGGCCACACCAACGACGTCCTGTCCGTCTCCTTCTCTGCCGACAACAGGCAGATCGTCTCGGGTTCGCGCGACAAGTCTATTAAGCTGTGGAACACCCTGGGCGACTGCAAGTACACCATCACCGAGAAGGGCCACTCCGACTGGGTGTCGTGCGTGCGCTTCTCGCCCAACCCCCAGAACCCCGTCATCGTCTCGTCGGGCTGGGACAAGCTGGTCAAGGTACGTTTCTGCATCTTCCCTGGCCCATTCTGGCCCATTCTAGCCCCCACCGACTCCGGTTCCATATGATGCTTTGCAACCTATAAGTATTTGCTACTTCAGAGCTCCTCGCGGGCAATGAGACCATTTCTATCACCACTGCACTGATGGACCTTCTCTACCAATTCCGTTTCCCCCACTCAAACAATCTACTTTTCGTTGTGCGTGGTCGGCGAGCTAACATGGGGGATACAGGTCTGGGAGCTCTCTAGCTGCAAGCTTCAGACCGACCACATCGGCCACACCGGCTACATCAACACCGTCACCATCTCCCCCGACGGCTCCCTGTGCGCCTCGGGTGGCAAGGACGGCACCACCATGCTGTGGGACCTGAACGAGTCCAAGCACCTCTACTCCCTGAACGCCAACGACGAGATCCATGCACTGGTCTTCTCCCCCAACCGCTACTGGCTGTGCGCTGCCACCGCCTCGAGCATCATCATCTTCGACCTGGAGAAGAAGAGCAAGGTCGACGAGCTCAAGCCCGAGTTCGCTGCCGTCGGCAAGAAGAGCCGCGAGCCCGAATGCGTCTCGCTCGCCTGGAGCGCTGATGGCCAGACCTTGTTTGCCGGCTACACCGACAACATCATCCGTGCCTGGGGTGTTATGTCGAGGGCGTAAGAACGGGGCTTCGCCTAGGGGGTTTATGATGATGATGGGGGGTGGGAATTCCTTTTTTTTTTTGTTCAACGCTGCGTGGGTTGTGCCGGGAGGGACTCACAAGACGGATCCATGGTGGCGGGCGTCAAGGAATGCTTGTCTTGGTTCGGATTTTTTTCACACCTTCATGGACGATGGAAGACACAGCACAGGAGCATCAAAATCATTTTTTTCTTCATGGGAGGTCTTGCACAGTCGCATCACGACGCATTCTGGTTTATTTCAAAAGAAACCTCGGCGTTCGGTGTGGATTTGCTCTGTGCTGTGGAATAGCCTTCCTTGTCCCTCATCCGCTGATACCAAAAAGAGAAAAAAAAACTTGCCATGAGAGACGACTGCCGTCACTCTTGGAGTGAGAGCAGTGACGATTCAACTAACTTCTGTTTACGGCGCAAGCAAAGGACCGCTAACCTGACAAGGGGCGATGCAGTCTTCAGTCTGCAAACAGCCTTACTAGGCGAGTCCAAGATCGAACGCACTATGGGCTCTCTGACGCCCCGACGCCGAGCATTGACTCCATGGGTCGCGGTGATTGTATAAGCTCAATACATGCTCAATCTGGGTGGAAGCCGGGACAGAATCTCGGAATCCATCCGCGGATCTAACGACAGTGTTTGCATTCTATAGGATATATATACCATGGGGCTGGGCTTTGACGCGTCCCAAGCCCAGTGAACTGAGCGCCTATCTATGGATATGCATCTATGTCTAGTCGAGAGACGTCTCTGTGCCCAAAATGATTTGCACCTTCATGAATGCCAAATGGGGGAGCAAAAAGAAAAGAGGAAAAAAGCCAGCGGGGAATGGCCGCAAATCACGCAAGCCTAGTTGGGCTGGGCAGGCGCAGGATCCGACTCCGGCAGAGCATGCCCAAGCGCGACGGGCTGGGTCCAGCAGGTGCCCAGGCCGCCCGACATGGTTGACTCAGACTGGACGAGCCGGTAGGGCTCGGAGGCCGGGGCATCGGCGGGGCCGTCATCGGCAAAGTCGAAGACGCGGTAGTCGGCGTTGGAGAACCACCAGCCGCACACGCCGGCACGCAGGAAGCCCGAGTGCGACACGACGGCCACCACCCGCTCCGGGCGCGCGCGCAGGTCCGCGAGGCAAGCCTGCCCGCGGGCCAGGATGGCCCGCCGGTCGTGCGCGTACGCGGCGCCGGCCGGGGACGTCTTGTCCGGGAAGACGGGGTCGACGGCGGAGAAGTCGACGAAGGGGACTTTCGGGGGGCGGGGTTTTTTTTTTGTTTGTGTGGTGCTAGTTTTGTGAGAGAGGGGTGTAGATATTGCATCATCAGGGACTCGTACTTACATTCTTTTGCCAGCGCCTCGAGCGAACTGCCCGTGTCGCAGGGTTTCGCCGAGTTCTCTTTTGTTGGGCGGGATAGAATTCAGTGTCGGGTTCAGGCCGCGACTCGGATCTTCACGGGCACTCTCAAGGTGGGTAGATACTCACCCTGCCATCCAGCGTGGGCTACCACGGGCACCTTCCTGCCACCAGGGGGCGGGTCGATGAGATAGCCCAGGCCAATCTGGGCGGTCTGTATACACCGCCTCATGGGGCTGACAATGATGAGATCGATGTCTAGCTTCCTGGGCAGTGTCTCCTGCAAATGTTTGCACAGGGTTCCGGACTGCTCCCTCCCTAGCTCCGTAATGTCCGGATCGGGGATTTCATAGTCTTGTGGACATCGAGTTCAGTTAGCAAGCAGCCCGTGGTGGTTCCCGGGATGGACGAAGGAGTAAACGGGTGGGTGCACTTATTGTCAACGTTATGTAGTGCCTGAGCATGGCGGATGAAGATTAGCTTGGGCGGCATTTTCGGTCCTTTGTTCTAGGCGAAAGAAGTTTGCTGAGGTGAGGCAGCTCTAGGGAGTAGTTAGGCGGGCTGTGGACTGAAAAGATGTTGCATTGGAGTATGAGCAGCCAAGGTTATTTTTATGCTGGACAGCATGTCAAGCAAGGATGACGGCTTATATACGTTCGTGCAGGCAACAGAAGCGCGTCTTATGATGGAGGAAGCCAGACCCGAGTCACCGACAATGCGGCCTGCTGCGCCCCTCTGCTAGTTTGTCGTGTTAGTTTGTTGGCCAATTAGCCAAGTTGAGGGGTTCCCTGAGCTAGAGAAAAAGAAGACATACACCGTGGCGACCAAAGATGCGAGGCATCGCCAAGTATGATGGAAGAAAGGATAGTGCACAAAAGGGCCATGTAATCGGTCTTCTTGGAAGCTGGCTGAGTCTTGGATTATCACGCCCAAGCAAAGCCAGCCAGCACTCGGAGTAACCCGAAGAGCCAGGGTGTTTGCTAGTTTGGTTCTACGGAGAAGGAACAGCGAATGATTACGAAAAAGGGAAAAACCACGAGGAAATGGGAAACAAAATCGAAACATATCTACCAGGCACCTATCACAGGGCAAGGGCCGTTCGCATGATGGGCTTGTGTGTCACTCACGATTCAACCATGGGACATTCATTCGCACTGTAAAACACACACCAAAGTCAAGCCCGTATACGGTGTGTATCATTGTCACATACCGTGCATAGGACCCAATTGGTTCTCACGTTGCCTGGTGGCGCATCGCGGAGCTCGAATCGTCTTCCAACTTTGGAAATTCAACAAACATCGCGGCTGAACAAAACGAAACCGGACACCGCTGCTCTGCAAAACATAACCTGGGAGAAACAGACACTTGCAGCGATCCCAGTGGTCAATTCACCTCAATTCCACAAAAGCATGACGAGCATCGACGAGCTCTTCAAGGCAAGTTGCACCCCCCCAGCTCTCTCCATTTCTCTCCCGCTTTTCGTTGCTAACACGCCTAGCTCAGAGTTCGGGTCTGCCCAACAAGCGCAAACTCGACACAGTTAGAGACCCGAGTACGTATGGCTCCGGTCCTTGCGCACGGAATCTACCACCGGGTTGCTGACAAGCTCCCCAGACGAGATCTACAAATCGGCCAAGCTCGGCGGCAGCAGCAACGGGAGGCACACACAAGTAGAGGATGAGGACGAGGACATGACCGAGGCCGGGCCGGCCCCTCCCCCAGAGGGAGAAGACGACGATGACGGCGAATACGGACCGACCGCACCACAGGACGACGAGGGCGACGACGAGGAAGGGCGCTTCTTCGGCGGAGGCATCACGAGGCAGGAGGCCGAGGTGCTAGACTACGTCGAGGGCGCCGACAACGAGCCGGCGGCGGCCGACGAGAAGATGGACGCGACCTGGCTGCGGCGCACGGCGCTGGCCTTCGAGAAGAAGATCAACCGCAACGCCGAGCTGCGCGCGCGGCACGCCGACGAGCCCGCGCGCTTCATCGACAGCGAGGCGGACCTGGACGCGGCCGTGCGCGCGCTCTCCATCCTGGCCGAGCACCCGTCGCTGTACGGCGAGTTCGCGCGGCTCGGCTGCGCTGCCAGCCTGGCGTCGCTGCTGGCGCACGACAACGCCGACGTGGCGCTGGCCGCGATCCAGATCGTGGGCGAGCTGACGGGCGACGACCTGGGCGGCGGCGGCGGCGGCGCCGCCGCCGCCACCGACGCCGACTGGTCCGCCCTGGTGGATGCCCTGCTCGCCGCCGACCTGCTACCGCTGCTCGTGTCCAACCTGGGCCGGCTCGACGAGTTCGGCGACGACGACGCCGACCGCGAGGGCGTCTACCGCATCCTCGAGGTGACCGAGAACCTGTGCTCGCGGCCCGAGACTGCCGAGGTGGTGGCGCGGGACGAGCAGCTCGTGCGCTGGCTGCTCGCGCGCGCCGCCAAGGACGAAGGAGGAGGGGCCGCCGTGTCGCAAAACAAGCAGTACGCCGCCGAGATGCTCGCCATCCTGGCGCAGGCCGCGCCCGCCAACCGCGCCCGCCTGGCCGGGCTCGACGCGGTCGAGGCCCTGCTGCAGCTCGTGGCGCCCTACCGCGCCCGCGACCCGGACAAGGGCGACGAGGCCGAGTACATGGAGAACCTGTTCGAGGCCCTCACGTGCATCGTCGACGAGGACACGGGGCTGGGCCGCCAAAAGTTCGTCGAGGCCGAGGGCCACGCGCTGTGTCTTGTCCTGGCGCAGTCGTCGTCGTCGTCGTCGTCGGGCAAGAGCGCAAGGAAGGCCCGGACGCCCGCGCTCCGGCTGCTCGACCACGCCGTGAGCCGCTCGCGCGAGGCGGGCGTGTGCGAGCGCGTCGTCGAGTACGGCGGCCTCAAGACCCTCTTTACACTCTTTATGAAGATCAAGACGGGCAGTGGCGGCGGCGGCGGCGGCGACAGCGCGCGCGCGCTCGAGCACCTGATATCCATCTTCTCGTGGATGCTGCGCCTGCTGCCGGCCGAGTCGGCCGAGCGCGTGCGGACGCTGGCCAAGTTCGTCGAGAAGGACTACGAGAAGACGACGCGGCTGGCAGCGCTGCGGCGCGAGTACGCGACGCGCGTGGCCGCCGTCGACGCCGCAATCGCGCGCGAGGCCGACGCCATGGGCGCCGACGCCGCCGCCGACGACGCCGCCGCCGTTGACGGCTGGTTCTCGCGCCGGCTCGATGCGGGACTCTTCTGCCTCCAGACCCTCGACGTCATCCTCGCCTGGCTGGCGGCCGAGGACGCCGGCGTCGGCCGCAGGATCGGGGAGCTGCTGGCGGACAAGGGCGGGACGGACGTGATCAAGGCGAGCCTGAGGGAGCAGGCCGAGGGCGTGGACACCTCGACCGACGACGGGAAGGAGATGCTCGACATGCTAAATACGCTTGCAGATTGTATCGACTAGACCGCTGCCGAGTTTAAAGGGGCACCTGATTGCTGAAGGGGTGGGGACTACTCATCATCGTTCATCTACGCCATGTATATGTATATCAATGTAATCAAGATATCCACGACATACAAAAACTGTCGGATCGACGCAACGCGCCCGACCTCCTTGACCAGCACCGCCCAAACTTGTCTCCACGATTGCCCACTTTGGAAACACGATCCAACCGACACCAAACAGCGGGGTGCGGGGGTGATGTTGCGCCGTTCAGGTTAGTGGCCGTCGCTCGTCTCCCGACCCCTCCTCCTTTCTATTCGACATCATAGTGCTAAACTCGAGCGGGTCTTTCGACTTGCGCCCTCCCACAGAGCCCCCTTTTCCTTTCCCCTAAGCACAGGAAGAAGTGATGCACGACTCGGGCGGCGGTTCGCCTAAGAAGCCGTAGGAGCGACTGGTTTCGGCTCAAAGACGGCTGTCAGGAGGTCCTTGATGACCTGGTCCTGGTTCTTCTTGGCCTGCTCCTTGATCTCGCCGATCTTGACCTCGGCCTCCTTGTTGGCAGCCTCCTCGGCCTGCTGGTTACCTGCGGAATGCTACAGATAGAAACGAAGCGAGGGGGGGCCGTCAGCTCTTCTCGTCGTCGATTTTGCGGGGGGAGGTCCACACAACAATAACAAAAAGCGCACCTTGGCCTCGAACTCTTTGAACTCGGACTCTTTGTTGGCCCTGTACTCGTCAATCTCCTTCTTGGCCTCGTCACGGGCCTCCTTCACCCTCTTCGTCCGGACTGCACGGCGCGTTAGCAAGGACGTCCAAGGTGGAGGGGGAGGTCGGAACGGTTGGCGGCGGTGGACTGCGGCTGCTGATAGGGGGTCCTCGATGATTTGAAGCACGTACATTCCCTGGCTGGACAGAGATACAAGCTGCGTCAGTTTGTGGTTCGATATGATACCTGCAACGCGGATTCGAGCACGGCTCTGTCTCTCTTGGCGCAAACTTACCCTTCTGGACAATCTTGGACGCCTCCCTCTCGGCCTGTGTCTCGGGTGGTCAGCGGGCTGTCGGTTCGCAAAAAGCGGCGGGCTCCTTCGGCGGCCCCGCCAGGGGAAAGACTGCACGGGGGGTGTGCGCTTTGAGACGCGGAGTTTCGGCGTACCTCGAGGAGGGTCTGGATGCCTGCCGAGCTTTGAGCCGACTGTGTGTTGTTGGTTCGCCGTCGGGGTCAGCTCGGTGTTGCTGCATTGTCGCGTCGTAAAGGGAGGGGGAACGTGGACTTGGCCACAAACCATTTTAGGGATCTAAGTAGTAGTCTTTCTGATTTCGATTGCTGTTGAAGAAGAGGAGGCAGGTGGCCGGTGGTCGGTGGTCGGCGGCGAGAGTGTCAAGCTCAGGTGTGTTTGCAATGAATCGACGTCGGCGAATGGTTGGATTGGGTTGGCGGGCTTGCGGCTTCGGTTGCAAGCAGGTTGGCCGCCAACTCCGCCCTGCCCACGAGCTCCAGAGAAAAGGTGGGGACCTCTCTCTCTCGCGCTCGCTTTCCCGACGCCAAGACCGGGGTTGCGGTGACTTGGAGGCGGTGGCCAGAGGCAGAAACCCTGATTACATCATTCGCAAAGATGGAAACGCCCCCTTACAGTGCTGGTGCAGTTCGGCAGGAGCCGCTGGAGTTGTGAGGCATCGCAAAGTCACGCGTTCGGGATATGAGTTTTTTTTTCTTAGTTATTTATGTAAGACGGTTACAGAAATTTTACCCTGCCTTTGTCCAGTGGAATTGATTGTCCCAGCCAGCTTCCTCTAATATGACATGCTCCTACCTCTATTTTCCAGCAAGAAAAAAGTCACATGTCACCATCAACCAACCAGCCCCTGAGCCCCTCGCCAAACAATGTCTCGAGCCTCCAAGCTCACCCTGATGGGCACCTCGCTCTTTGCCACCACCACCGTCATATTCGTCCACTTCCAGCAAAAGACCGAGAAAGCCGTAAGATCTTGTACACTCCCTGACACCGGGATCTTTCTCTTGACTGACACGAGACTGCAAATCACAAAAAAGGCCATGCACGAGGGCGTGGTTCGTGATATGGAGCAGCAGCGCATAAAGCGCGAACGCCAGCTCGATTTTGAGCTGCAGCGTACTCTGGAGCAGGAATACAAGAAGGGCCAGACCGTGCGGGACACCACTGGGAATCCCGGTGACGGTGCCCGATAATGACACAGGGCTAGTGAGGAAGGAGCGCAGCAGTGGCGACACGAAACCCCCATCTGGCCGTCCCTCGGGTTCCTGTTAGAGTTGTAGATATACACATCCGGAGGCAAAGGAGGAGACCGAGATACCTGCAACGATACCCACTATTGAGCATAAGATAATCTCCCTTCCGTTAGCTATACCCGAGGCACGCTCCAGTCAGGTCTACGTCATGTCTTTTGATCTGAAGAATCGATGTATCGTGGGTACAATACAAGCCAACTCCTGGGGCAAGACCCCCCGAATCTATTATCGTCCACTTCCTTCTCCGCCTGATACCTTTGGAGCACTAGCCCGACGACATCAGAACTGTGCCGTGAGTAGAGAAACAAAGCCTCCTCTCCTATACCTAGACGAGACAGCTTTGCCACAGTCTAGAACGGATGTGCTTGGTGTTTAGGTCGCGAGCAGGGGTTGTCGTGGCTGTTCGGACACCACCAGCTATGCAGAACATGTAAATAGCAATAAAATACCCATCCCCAAGTTGAAATGAGCCCTCTCAGTTCTTCCTTTACTCCATGCAAAAGACCCCGCTGTTTTTGTTGTTTGTGGTAGGGCATAAACGTGAAGGTCGAGTTATAAGGGAAAAAGAGACAAAGAACCACGGTTAGCCAACCAATCAAAGGCGACATTATTGCCTCAACGGATCGAGACACCCGACCGGTCTGTGAACATCCTGGTTGCAATGTTCATCGCCGCAAGCTCCTGGAAAAGAAGCTTGGCGGCGTACGGGATGTGCACCTGCGCAATCTTTGTCTTGTTCTTGCAAGGGCGGCACTCAAAGGTACCCTTGGTGAGATCACTACGATGGAAGTTCTTGTGTTAGCCCTTCATGTCCGCAAGCATCCAGTCTGGCCAAATGCAAGAGGGGGGGAAACTTACGCAATAGGTGTCATTAGCCCGCAGATTTCGCAAATGTGCACCCGGAAAGCGTCCGAGACCTCGAAAAGGCGCTCCTTGAGGAAGGCTGCGGCTCCGTGTGCAATCATGCAATCACGTTCCATTTCTCCGAAACGGAGACCACCGTCTCTGGCTCGACCCTCGACCGGCTGTCGCGTCATAATCTGAAGAGGCCCACGGGCACGGGCGTGGATCTTGTCGTCCACCATGTGACGGAGACGCTGGTAGTACGTGGGACCGAAGAAGACCTGGGCGCGGAGCTTGCGTCCCGTGTGGCCGTGGTAGAGCACCTCAAACCCACGAGACTGGTAGTCGTATTCCCGAAGCAGCTTGGAGACACTGTCTACCGTCACCTCGGTGAAGGGAGTGGCGTCGCCCTCGAAGCCCTTGATGGTGGCCACCTTACTTAGTAGACACTCGATCAAATGGGCGATTGTCATACGAGACGGAATGGCGTGGGGGTTGATGATGATGTCGGGCGTGATGCCTTCCCGCGTAAAAGGCATGTCCTCGTGCCGATACGTAACACCGATGGTACCCTTTTGACCGTGACGCGACGCAAACTTGTCTCCGATCTGGGGGATCTTGGTGGTCCTGACACGAACCTTGACGTACTTGAGTCCGTCTTGGTTCGTCGTCAGGATTACCTGGTCGACAATACCGCTCTCGGTGCTTCGGAGAGGCGTCGATGCGTCTCGCTTGACATGCTGCACTGTGCGCTGACCCAGCTCCTGGTTGTCCGGTTGAATGGGCGCCGTTTTTCCGATGATAATGTCCTCTCCCGAGACACGAGTGCCAGGTGCAACAATGCCATCATCCTCGAGCTTGTCGTAGGTTCCCTGCTTCAGACGAAGAGTGTCCTGCCTGTACGGCTTCTCAAACTTCTCCACGAGGTTGATACCCACTCGTTTCTCGGCGTCGGTGTATGACCGGAAGAACAGGCTCCTGAAGAGTCCGCGGTCGATGCTGCTCTGGTTCATGATGACGGAATCTTCCTGGTTGTATCCAGAGTAGCATGCGATGGCCACGATGGCGTTCTGTCCTGCCGGAAGCTCGCGGAACTTGAGGTACTCCATCGAGCGGGTGATACCAAGGGGCTTTTGCGGGTAGTAGAGGATGTTGGCCATGGTGTCCATGCGCTTGTTGTAATTTGTCAGGAAGAAACCCATGGCCTGCTTGCCCATTGCAGACTGGTAGGTGTTACGAGGCGACTGGAGAGAGGGGGCATGTTAGCAAGCACAATGTTTGGGAGGATAGGAGAGGGGAAAATCAGGCAGCCGCTACGTACCTGGTTGTGATCAGGGAACGGAATGATGCTGGCGCAGATGCCCAGCAGCATACTAGGATGAATCTCGCAGTGGGTGTAGGTATGTGTCGTCGGGTTTATCTTCGTCCTCAGCCGCTTGTTGATGTTGTGCTCCGTGATGATGTCGTCTTCGGACGCCAGGTTGATGCCCGTCTCCTTGAGGTACCTGAAGATATCCAAGTCCTCTGGCGTCATACAAATCATGGCCGTCTCCTCCTGCTCGGCATCCATAAGATCGATGACACCGTCCGACTTCAGACCCTCCCATCCGTAGAATCCCTCGTCTCCCTGGGACAGCTGGTTGTCCTTGTCTTCGTGCAGCCTGGCGATATGCTCCTTGGTGAGCACAAGACTCGACTTTTTGGTCCCAGTCATCTCATCGTCCTTCTGGTTCACCACGAACAGCGGCCTCATGACGCGACCGGCATCCGACAGGATCCTGAACTCTCCCTCACGCACGTCGTGGATCAGAGAAACCTCGGCATCCACCGTGTTCTTCCTCCGCAGGTCCGCGACCGCATCAGCCAGCTCGTCAATGTTGCGAGAAACACCGACCCACGTGCCGTTGATGAAGATCTTGGACACGGCCATGCCGTCCGAGGGCTCAAACTCCTCGAGAACCTCCATGCCTCGAGAGACGAGGAAGTGCTCGATGGGAGATGCGGGTGTTCCGACACTAACCATGCACATCAGAGACAGGTTCTTCACCAGACCACAAGCCTGGCCCTCGGGAGTCTCGGCAGGGCAGACCAGACCCCAATGCGTGTTGTGCAGCTGGCGGGGCTTTGCAAGCTTGCCATCACGGCCGATGGGCGTGTTCGTCCGCCGCAGATGCGACAACGTCGATGCGAATGTGTATCGGTTCAGCACCTGGGAGACACCTGCCGTCGAGCTCGCCGCCTTCTTCTGATCGCCCCAGTTGCCCGTGGCCAACGAGTACTTCAGCCCGTTTGACAGCGTGTTGGGCCTCAGCGCGGAAGTCAGGTCGAAGTTCCTCGACGAGTCGATGCAACGCTTGAGATGATTCATCATATCGTTGGACATCCTGCGAACAAGGTTGCGGAAGAGCTTGGCCAGCAGCGGACCCGCGAGATCAAGTCGCTTCTTGCCGAAGTGGTCTCGGTCATCGACGTCGCGACGGCCAAGGGCACACTGAAGAATTTTGTGCACCATGTAGCCCAAGAAAAAAGCTTTCCTCGTCTCTTGGCCTTCCTCCTGCGAAACGTGTGGTAGGGTCTCCTTCTGGAGGATGTCCCGAGCCATGCGCAGACGCTGGTGCCGATTGTTGGCGTGCTGCCCATCCCTGCCAACTCGCTTGCCGATAAAGTCCAGCGCAACCTCACGGTCTTGGATACAGAAAGCCTCTTCGATACTGGGCCGCAGCATCTCCAACATCTGCACATCACCCTTGTCCAGGACGATATGGTTCAGAATGTCCTCGTCAGACACCACGCCAAGGGCGCGGAACACAATGGCTAACGGCAGCTCGCCATTGACGTACGGCAGCGTGACATGGAGCGTTTGGCCAAAGGCACCACGTGAGCTGTCCCCCTTGGATGTCAACGACATCACCAGCGACGAGATGAGGCGGGAGCCCTTCTCGAGGGCGCTACGGATCTCGGCCTGATAGAGGTATTTGTGCGGCTGCGCCTTCTTGAAGACCTGGACAATGTTGGCGGCAGAGCGCTCCTGCGCAATGAGGACCTTTTCACTGCCGTTGATGATAAAGTAACCGCCCTGGTCGTATGGGCACTCGTTGAGAAGGAAGAGCTCCGACTCAGGCTGACTGCGGAGATAGCAGATTCGACTCTTGAGCATAATGGGGATTTTGCCAATGAAAACCATATCCCTCATGTTCTCATTCTTCTCAATCGAATGCTCCTCGACCGGCTCCGGAACCCAGACGACAGTCGTGGGGTGCTCGTTAGTTGCAAGCGCCTCCTCTTTTTGCTCCTCCGTGAGTTTGTCCTCGGGGATATCCACCTCGACGGCCGCCTCGACCTTGCGGGTCAGCTTGACCCATAGCGGGCAGGCGTACGTGAGGTTTCGGTCGCGGCACTCGTACGGGACAAGCGTGTTGGCCTGACCATCGGTTTCCTTGATTGTTGGCTGGGTGACGAGGATGTGACCAAACGTGAGGGTGTAGCGGCGCATTCTCAGCGGCCGGCCACTCGCGCCGCTGTCCTGCGGGTTCTGCTGGTCGAGAGTGAGGGTGTGGTACTCGTCGATTATGCTCTGGATGGTGGTGGTTGTGAACTCGTTGTAGGAATCGATCTGCTGCGACACCAGGCCCTTTTCGTCAAAGTAGGACGAGATGACCGTCCAGCAGTCCTCGGGCGTGATCGCCTCGGGATCAAAGTCGTCCTCCTCGCCCTGGCCATCCTGGTAGTTGTCCGCCTCATAGTCATTATCTCCGTATTCCGCCATCTTGTCGCGTGCGGGTCGAGTGATTTCTTCAGCGGGAGCGCGTCGCCTATTCCAAGGCGATGAGTCGGGAAACAGGAGATCTCGGTCGGCCGACCGATGCGGGGGAGGCGATGACAGGCGCGTGGGTGAGGCTGGACTGAAGCCGAGGTGAGGCGACGGTCAGGGCTGCTTTCAAATCAACGCTGGGCGCGGGCGGCGCGCGCACTCTGCCTTGGAGCACAACCCAGAGCGATCAGACTTCTGGCAAAGAAACAAAAGATCAGGGAGCGTTGTCGGGAAAGAGGATGGCTTGGTTGAGGGCCCGACGCGATGCAGGTCTTCCTCGTGAAAGGCAGGCGGTAGATGTTTGGTGCCTGCGGATTTTTTGGACTCCGCCACGGGAGGGAGCTCAAGAGATCGCGCGCTGGAATGCGCTAAGCCCAAAGCGGGTCATGGAGCCCCACCGCGAGGAATTGTGCACAGACCAGGCCGCTTTTTGTCTATTGGTTGCCATTGGAACTGCATTCCAAGACGACAGCTTCAGGTCTGACCTGCCCGCCACAGCCATCGTTTAGCCCACATGGACGGCACCACAACCTCGTTGCAACCACCTCGTGGGCCAGGGTCTGCCCGAGCGCTCAGTTGACCACCTAGACTAAGTCGCGATGTTCTTCTCTTCAACACCCCGGCGCATGCTTGTGGGCTCCAAGTACCTCTAGGTACCAGCCAAAGTCCGAGCCAGTCCGAGCCAGCCCTTACAAAGCTGGCAACTAGGACCATAGCGCAAGGTTACGGTGTGAGAGTCGCATCTTCAAGTTGCTGGGGATGTGTGCCTCTGATGATTAGTCCACGATGGATGTAATTAATGATTTCTAAGCGCGGGTGAACTCTCCCTCCTTGTCCGCTTAACATTTCTAGGTCACCATGGGGAGTCACGACACTTAAACGGGAATGTAGCCGTCAACTACCTATCTGGTAAAATGTTCATGTTCATGCACGCAACCCCTAAAGACTCCAAGATAATCATCACATCCAACGGTCCACGATGGCTCCCATCAAGCGTGTTGCCCTTGCCGGCGTAAGTGGCGCGCCACCAGTCCAGACGTCCCTAACCCTTGACAGACTTGCAAGATATATACTTACACGCAGCTCTGGGCGAGCGATAGGCTTCGGGCGCTCTCGGCTCAGTGGTCCTGAAGCATCTCGTCGACGCCGGCTTCGACGTGACCGTGCTCAGCCGCGCTCCCGGCAAGCTGCCGGCCGAACACGCCTCCTCCGCCAAGGAGGTCGTCGTCGACTACGGCTCGCAGCCGTCCCTGGACGCGGCCCTGCGCGGCCAGGACGCCGTCGTTAGCACGCTCAGCGACTTTGGCGGCTACGCGGCGCAGAAGCCCCTCGTCAGGGCCGCGGTGGCCGCGGGGGTGTCGCGCTTCATCCCCTCCGAGTTCGGCTCCAACCTCGAGAACCCGGTGATCCGGGCCCTGCCCTACGCGATCCCCAAGGCCGAGGTCCAGGACCTGCTCGTCCGGGAGGCCTCCGCCCCCGGCGTCGCGAACCCCATGACCTACACGTTCCTCTTCACAAACGTGTTCCTGGACTGGGCCCTCGAGGAGGGGCTCATGACGGACCTCGAGAACAGGAAGGCCACACTCTACAGCGGCGGCTCGACCCCGCTCAGCTTCACCCGCCTGCCCACCATCGCCCGAGCAGTCGTGGGCATCCTCCAGCGCCCGGACGAGACGGCGAACAGGACTCTCCGCGTCCACGACGGCATGCTGACCCAGAAGGAGTTCCTCGACGCAATCCAGGAGGTGACGGGACCCTGGACCATTGATGAGGACGACATCGCAGCCATGGAAGCGAGATCGAACGAGGCGTATGCTAAGGGCATCTTTAACCACTGGGTCTTCTACGGCTGGCTCGTCCGGGCTAGCCACTCGGCCGGCCTAGGTGTCGCCTTTGTGGAAAACGACAACAAGCTGTTTGGTCTCAAGGAGCACTCAACCAATGAGATGAAGGAGCTGGTCCGGAGCGTTGTGAAGGACATCATTGATAACAACAAGTACAGGGGCACGTTTGCCAAAGCCCTGTCGAGCGCTCGCCAAGAGATGTTGGGTGCTTGAGCAGCTTGGATGAAGGAGACCTGGAGATGGTGTCATTGAGTGTCCCTTTTCTCAGGTTCCAAATGCCCAGTAAATAGTATGGCAATTCGCAACAGACAGCTCATAGAGTGAGTTTTATGGAATAGCTGGTCGGGCAGTCCAGGTAGAAGCCTGTTTTTTTTTGGTTTTTTTTCTTTGGAAATCGGCGCCGGGGCGAGTCCTTCAAGCAAAGAGCAAGCCGCATCAAACAAGATTCTTCGAAACCAGACCCCTATAACTTCTGCCGGAACCGCATCCCTCCCACCGATTGCTACACAGCTTATTTCTTCACCAGCCGATGCTGGAGCTTCATTTTCCCACTTGCGCTTCTGCTTCAATGGCCGTGCATGCGCATGAACGCCTCCTGCCTAAGGGCGTTCCGTGGATCACCGTAGTAGTTGTTGTTCTCGGTTGCCGGGGGGTACGGCTCCAGCGTCGCGGGAGGCGGCGAGTCGGCTCTGGCCGGCTCGCGCTTCTTCCGCTCCCGCCACATCCAGAATCCGATGCCGCAAGCGGCCGCGATGGCCGCGCCCCCGATGGAGACGCCGACAGCCAGCGGGATCGTGCCGTTGGCGTCCTGCGGCTGGTCGGCCGGTCCAGTAGAGTTCCCGGTGCTGTTCGAGGGAGCATCCGGGGCGGCAGTCTGGCCCGGAGACGAGGGTGTGGGAGCGGAGCCTGGCGCCCGCGGGTCCGATGTCGACGTGGTGGCGTCGGTTGTAGCAGGACCTATGCGTGTGACTCGTCAGCAAGAGACCAGGGCTATATATTTTGATGGTCACGGGAAGGAATGGACTTGAGGGGACTGTATAGTACCTGAACGGCCGCTTGAGCTATTGGGAGGAATCGGAGTGCCCTTGGGGTCGAGGGCGGTGCCGCCACTAGTGATAGCTGTGGTCGACTGGTTAGTGTTTAACCCACCAACGGCTGAGTGAGCCCACCTCCTCTTCGCTGAGGCCAGCAAATAGCCTTGGACATCCCGTGGCGGCATAGAAACTCACTCGCTCCCATCAGGATAGTGCCGCCAAACCTCTTGTCGCACTGCCCGGTGCCATCGCAGACGTAGCTGTTGTTTCCCTCCGCGCACAGGTTGAGCGGGACGATCTCGCCCCGGTTGGAGCACACATCGGTGCACGACTCCCCGGTCTTTGAGGTGCAGGCGCCGATGTAGAACCTGTCGTCGTCGGCCTCCTTGGCGCCCCCGCGCATGCAGCCGGCGTTGGTGAGGCAGACGTCGCCGATGACGCAGCACGTGCCGTGGCCTGTGAGGTCTTTGTTCCAGCTGCAAGCGACTATGCGGTCCTCGCCCTTGGGCGTCGACCCGTCCGAGAAGAAGCAGTCGGCGGCGGCGGTGACGCTGGCGAGGAAGGTGGCGACGGCCAGCAGCGCGAGCGGCAGCATGGCGAGCCTGGCGAGAGGGCTGGACCGGGAGCCCTGCGATGGTCCCGGCGACCAAAGCAAACCCATTTTTATGCGATCAGATGGCGGAGATGATAGTTGGCGCTAGCTTTGCTCGGGATCTGAGAAATCCTGGTTCTTCTCTCGATGTGGTGGTAGGTTGTTGTGACGGCTTTTTTTCCCTAGGGTTGCCACAAAGGTTGTGGGGGAGCTCGGGACCCAGTGGGTTTGTTTTCTTCCTGGACAAGTTCGAGCGAAATAGAGAATGGCAGTGTATCAACCGTGGACCACCGGTAGCCTGCAATGGGGCTGGCAGCACTTTTTCCCCGTCTTGGTACCTCAAGGGTGGTGCAAGCCGGGCCAGGCGACCAGACGTTTGGACCAAAAAGGAAGGAACACAAGGAGGGTCTGGATGTGGTGCTGTCCAATATATATCACTGTGGCGGAACATGCGACGAGTGTGCAGCCCCAGCACCGAGGTACTCTGTCACCCAGGTGAGGACAAAGCGAGGGACAAGTGAAAAGCAATGAGTGTTACCATATGTGCTGATATGCAGCCCATCCTGTTGCCTCCTACCTACCACCCAGGTACCTACCTATACTTTGCCTATCCCGCTATTCCAGTCCGGGCGTATGAGGACGCTCCCGATTTTCTAACTTCTCATATGTGCCCATACCATCCCACGCGGCTACACAACAACGGTTCTGTTACACCAAACACATTCGCTGTGCTCACTGGGTGCAAGGCTGATTTGATTATAAGGGGCTGCCTTGGGGCGCATGTAGTACCTCGCGCACCAGCCATGTTTGTGTGGCCATATGTATGGTGGATCAGCACAATGGCCGGAGAAGCCTTGATCATCTGATGGAGAGCGCGAGATGCACAATCAAATCAGCCCAAGGTGGTGCGTTATCCAGTGACCGATCTCAGAAGTTAGGGATAGGCCGAGAGAACTCACGGTCCATCTCTCCATATCGCTGTTCACTGTTGATTCCCTGCCAGTATACAATGGGCATGATTCTCGTAGTCGATCATTGACTTGTTTTGTTCCACTCCCTGCAGGCTGTGCTCTCCTTTTCCACAGCTGAATGGTGGAGTCGGCCAGCAGCCTCGACATTGCCACCTCCCCCAAGGCTGACTGCAACTTTCGACCAGATGTTAGATGACGATCTCCTCCGATTCGTAGATATTACCGTGTGCATCACAGATTTTGGAAAGCAGTTCTACATCTTCTTCCACGCCTAGGTCTGAAACACTTCCAGCCAACAGGAAGCACTTGCTCTTGTTGTGCCTACTGCTTCCTATTTTGGAACCGCCAATAAGAAGAATCAGCCGCCCATCCCTGTTCATACAAAACAAGCAGACCTCATCGCCGGACTTTTGTTTTAACCACTTTTTCTCCTAAACACCAGGCGCCAACCGGGATAGAGACAAACGCCAGTACTCCCAAGCGTGTACACTCGCCCACGCGCCAACACAAAAACAACACCACACGCGAGAGCCGAACTGCTTTCTCCACTTCGTTTGTTTCTACAATTCCGATCGAGTACACAAGACAAGGCGTCCCTACCGACCATCGCACCTTCATCACCCCCAGTCCTCCGAGCGAGCATCGTTGCAGGATCTTCCGTTCGCTTCCTTTCGTCCTCCACTCCGCCATTTATCCTCCTTGCTGCATGGTTGCCGCTCCCCAACATCAACGAGCCTGCCGGGCGCCCCCGGCCATCCATCCTCCCACCGCGCTGGCCTACGCCGAGAAGCAGAAGCCTGATAACCCCGGCCTAGAATCCCAGGGAACAGAAATCGAGATTTTGTCTCCTGTAACATCTCTGGGGCAGCTCTAAGCCTCCTAAGCTTCTTGCACGTCGGTTGAGGCGAGACATTGGGATGGCTTGCGAGAAGCTCAGATGGCGCGGTGGTCCTTGCGGGAATGCATGGCCTAGTAACCAATAGCTTGCCCTTCCATGGTCGAATGTGAGTCCTCAACCAGCAAAACTGAAACCGTGAATATCGTAACTCGTTGTCATCTCCGGCGCCGAGGGGGTATATCCTAAAAGGGGATGAGGGTTTGTCGCAAACAAAGGATGTGCTTTTTGTCGGACCGCGAACGAAAAGAGAAGAGAAAATGAATGCTGCGAGGATGTGATGAAGGTTAAAATATGGGAAATTGATTTTTGAGAGTCCAAGCACTTTGCCGCAGCTGGGGGCACGTATGACTGACGCCACCACGAGGTTCTTCTTTTCGTTCTCAAGAAGGGAGCGAGACGATCTGAAACTAAGCCTTGAAGCTGCGGCAGAGCCAAAAAGAAGCAAGAAGAAGAGAAGGAATCATGAGAGGAATCTGCGTCGACGAAGAACGAGAACCGAGTACGCCGTCCCGAAACAAGAACTAGGTCGCAAAGTGCCAAGATCACGGGGATAACCAAACGGAAAGAAGGAAAAGAAAATGGAGAGAAGGGAGGAGCTTTGGAGACGCATAAAGTCAAAAGATGAGAGTAAAACAGGGGCAATAAGTGCCCAAAGAAAGTTATGGGGCCAGGATTCAAAAGGAGGTGTTTGGGCTCATCAGGCCCATGATGGCCGCGATAGACGCTGCGTCACGCCTCACCCTGACCCAAGACAAGGTTGAAAGAGTACCTGCCCCGAGGGGGAGAATGGATCGGCGAGGTGTGGTGAGGGCTTTACGCAACCGGAGCGATGGGAGGAGCCGGGGCGGCGGCGATGACGGATGGGTCGGCCGCAAGAGGGGCTTCGGCGGCCGGAGCCTCGGTGTTGGCGTTCTTTTGGGGGCAATCTCTTGAGATGTGGCCGGCCTCACCACACTGGTAGCATGTCTTTCCGGCGGTGTTCAGCGGGCCGCCGTTGGGAGCGGTGCAGTCGCGCGAGATGTGGCCGAGCTTGCCACATGCGTAGCACTTCATCGCCTGTGCCTGACAGTCACGAGCGAAGTGGTTCGGGCCACCGCACTTGTAGCAGGTGGCAGGTCGAGGGCCGCCCGCAAAGCCACCACGTTGGGGGAATCCGCCAGTGAAGCCACCGCGGGGGACCGGAGCGCCTCGGCCCATGTTCGCACCAGCGGGGTTCGGACAGGCGCGCTTCGGAAAGGGTTAGCGACAGGCGCTCTCGAAATTCACGCAGGCGTTGCGTCACTAGTGACCATGTTGGCATGTAAATGCCATAGGCTCATCACTTACAGCCAAGTGACCCGGCTGTCCACAGTTGTAGCAGCGGCCACCGGCGCCGGCGCCGCTCAGGCGAAGGGTTGGGCAGTCGGCCTGGACGTGGCCTAGGCCCTGGCAGTGGTAGCACTGCTTTGCCTCAGTGGTCCGCGGGAGGGGGCAGCCGTTGGACTCGTGGCCCGGCTGCTTGCCTGTAAAGACTATGTTAGAGTGCCACAAAAGACCCCGCGGCGGCTCACAAAAAAAAAAGCAGGGTACATACAGTTGTAGCAGAGGCGCTCGGCGGAGGAGCAAACCTCAGCGTAGTGGCCGACATTGCCGCACTTGTAGCAGGCCCGACGAGAAAGCGAAGACATGGCCTCGGATCGTTGGAAACTGCGGCAGAGTCAGCATTGGATCAGCACGCGATCGTGGTACGAGCCGAAGTTCTGGTTCTCTCTCCGCTCCCCTCCGGTGGTAAGGCTTCCCGTGTGCTGGTCAGAGCTGGTCAGGGCCGGTGTCACGGCCGCGCGCGGCCAATCATTCCATATTTGGTCGCATGGTGCTCCGGAACCCCAGATCGCAGGAGATCATGGTGCAGAAATCTCACGTGGCGATGAAGCCTCGTGGGCGGCATGACGTTTGAGGCGCACAGAATATGGCCAAATTCAAGGTGGAAGCGCAATGTCAGAGAACCTTGGTTCCAACAGGAACACAATTCGGCGCATTGGGTTGGAAGCCCGCTTGACCGAGAGACCAGGAACGTGCGTCCAGAGCGAGGTCTGTGTAACGTCCCGGCGGACCGTTCCGTGTATCTTTCACGCCAATGACAGATGTCATAATATCGACGTATGCCGCGGCGCATGCCAGCTCCGACTCCAGGGCGAGACCGCCGATCAGTGTCCACGCCTTCAAGCCTTCCCTACGACCAAGCCGTAGACTCGAGACGGCATCGGAGGTTCGCACTTGGGTATGTTTGCAGCCCAGAAGCCTTGGTAGACAGAGGCATAGGTGGAGCGGTTGTCCGAGGAGTCGAGGCGGGGGATCCATCGAATAGCGGGGATGCGGGCACACGGCCACAAAGCTGGAAAAGGCTGCGCCAGGCGCTTTGGCAGTCGCAGCAAAGGCGCCGTTTCCACAGCAGTTCCAGCGGCGATGGCGGCGTGGGCTCGCTCGGGTAGAGACGCAATGGACAGCACCCACGTTGGGCTGGCGCGGGTCGCAGGTCGAAGGTGGCGGCTTGGCCGGAACGCCGTCGGTTCTTCCTCGGCCCTCCTGAGCTCTGGGTTCTTGGGATGCGCCGGGGATTGGGAGGAGAGAGAACCAGATAGGGAGGAGAACGCAGAAAACAGAGCGACGGAAAAGGCTAACGCCAACTGACCTACCTGTTCACGTTGCGGGATATCCTGTGTGGCCTCACGTCCAACTTCCACAGCAGCCTGCGCAAGCCTGCGAAGGTCATTCAGCCGAGACGAAATAACGAAAGTAGGATGTCTGGGTAGCGATTCTATCCGTTGATACGAAGCGAAGAAGACCTTTCAACGAGAGGGAGGGGTGAGGGAGGAGAAAGTGTGGATGGAGTGAACGAAAGGTACCCGACTGGGAGTGTGATCCGTCCCGCATGGCTAGTGGAGGCGAGAAAAAAAATGGCACATCCTGGGAGCGACACTAGCCCTTTCCAGGCGTGTCAGCGGCCCCTCCGGCGCGGCATAGCGCCTGCGAATCGGCTAGGGCAGGCACTGGTCAGGGAATTTTGGGGGGGGGGTTCTGAGACCCCTCGGTCCCAGCAGCTTCAAGCCAGGCACCTCCTCCAGATCGCGCTTCCTAGATGGAGCCCAGGAACAACTGCACGGCCAGTGCTTGCGAGTATTTGCCCGCATCCCACCGACAGCAATAGTTGCAATGTGCCCTTACTATATGCCCGAGTATTTACGGGCTGTGCATCTTGGAGGGTGCCATGCCATGTGCGACCCACTATTTGGGTGGGCCCGTTGATGCGGGCGGTTCGGGTGACAGAGCGAGGTTGACAGATCTCGGCCGCTCCTTCCCCGTTGCACGCAACATCCCTGGCTTCTAGTCGCCAGTCCAAGCGGGAAAACCTGCGATGAAGCTGAGGGAAGAAGCAAGCAGTGGTCGGCTGTAGTTCAGCTGCCCCTATCCGTGATACTCCGGCAGCTTGTCCCGAGTTTTGCTCACCGCCAGTGAAAGCAACTTGGCCAACCTGAGACTTGAGGGGTTGCTGTTTGCTCACCCTTTCCCATCCCTGGTAGACAACATGCAACCACTCAAACAAACGGCCACATCTATTTCCTCCCATGGAAAGATGCTATCACCTTTGCCCAACTCTCCGCTCGACTCCGAAGCTGCTGCACCCTCGATACCTCTACGTACCTGGTACCTGGTAATTAGCCCGTTTGTAACCCTTCCAGCCTGTCTCTACCAAGAACTCCATATCGCCCACCTATTTTTAACCGCGGCAGTCCCCGTAACGCGTATTTCTCTTTTCTCTAGAGCATATCTCCTACCCATCTCGCCCCCCACGCCCACTACAAAAAAGATGGCAGTCCCACCTGGCACTTTAACAATAGGAAGGCGAATAGGACTAATAAAAATCGGAAATCCTATAGTATTAACCATTATAATCCCCAAATTTTATAAAACTGCCATTTCTTTTGTGGTATGCGTGCCTCCTTTCGCCAGCCCGCCTCCCAGTGCTTCAGCTTGCTCGGAACGCAACTTTACCAGCTCTGCAGGGGAGGGTGGCGAGTCCGCACGCACGGACTCCACGTCAAGCGCCCGCCCGCGCCTGTCCACCACCCCGACCCAACTCCCCATTGGCTCTGTGGAGAAGCAAGACGACGGCCGAACGTCCCACGCAAACTTTCTGTCCGCGTGCTCGGCCGAGCGCAACACGATGCCTCACTTGGGCCGTGCTTACGATGCGTGGGCTTTGGTGGCGGTAGCCGTCAGGCGAGACCCCTTGTCTTGCTTGCCCACCACCCACGCTTGGCAGTAGCTTATCATCCCCCTATTTCCTCAATGGAGCCGGTCCATTGCGCCATATCCAAAGCCGGACGCCGCGGGCCTGCTTTGAAAACAGACCATGCGAGGGGGCCGGCACTGGTTAGGCTCGTGCTGTGATCGGTCGAGCAAAACTGTTGCCCCCCTGTCGCAACCCCTCCACGCGATATGGGAGAGGGGGGAGGATCCAGGCGCCAGAGTCCGATTTGCCAAACCCTTTTTTGTTGACAGGTCTTTGTATTTTTGTGTGCGCGCGCTCTCGGGAACCCCTCCCCCAAGCCTATGGCGTATGTACCGAAGCCGTCAAAGGCACCCACCCGGATGGCTGCAACATGGAATCCCCGCGCCGGAGCCCGGAGACGATGGGCTGAAATGTCCAAAGTCGTTCCAATAAGGAGAGGCAACAGCAACCTTTGGGTGTTTCCCTATCCGCTGCCTGGACATGGACCTGCAATGGTGTTCCACAACTGGTTGTCGGCAAGTCAAACCATATTGCCACCTACGTCTTGGCCAGGGCTAGCCTGAATGTAAAAGGACATTTCCTGGAAAGGGCCTCGCGCGGTTTCGATGGACCCACGCCCATTCACAACGAAAAAAAAAAGAAAGAAAAAACAGGACGGCACCCACTACCTCCATTACTTTATGGGCTGTGGATATACTATCAACACCCCTTTTATTGCGGCCCGTATAAAAATATCAGGCCAGTATCTAGGACTGCCCGGGGATTACCATCGCAAGTGTACATATGAGATACTCATGTAGATGAAGGGCGATCTTTGAAAAAATGCCGCACATGATTAGATGGGTATGCCGGCCAGGACTCCCTTGTTAGTAGTACAAGAAAAGAAAAATAAGAAAAATAAGAAAATGCAAAAATCCCCCCCGCCAGATGCGCCGTTCTACGATTGTTTTACAGGACAAAGCAAAATCCGCCGAAAGGGTGGAAAATGATCACTGCCACCTCTGCTAAGCCAGGCAGGTACACCCCGTTTTCGTGTTATCTCCCCTGCCTCCAAGCTCACTAGCTCGGTGGCAGCGCTAGTCGCCCGGCCTCTGAAGGGTGCTGGGGCAAGGGGATGTTCATCGCTGCGGTGGGCGCGATGGATCGGGGCCGCGCTTCGACGATGTAGGACACGCCGTCGTCCGAAGCATACGAGGGCGGTCGACGGGTGCCCCCGCCGCTGCCCCCGCCGCCGCCCCCGCGCAGGCCGGCCCCGCCGTCCTCGGGCTCGTCGCGGGAGGACGAGGTCTCGGGCCGGGCCTCCGAATTGCGCTGCCAGTAGATGCGGTCCGGGTCGACCCTGATGCTCTCGCGCCAGATGCCGTACGCCGGGGGCTGGAGCTTGGTGGTCTCGCTCTCGATGCCGGCCGCCTCCTCGTCTCGCGCCAGGACGACCCGGATCGGCTCGCGCGGCACCGCGTAGCCGCCGGGGTTGTGAAGCTGCGACATGGCGGCCCGCTGCTGGAGCGCCTCCTGCTGGCGCCGCTCCTCGTCGTGCTCCTGTGGTGGCTTGATCAGGAACATGCAGAGCCTGATCAGGCCGTGGCAGAAGAAGATGGTCGCGAAGAGGATGATGAGGATGAGCAGGATCGTGAACTCATTAGAGTTGATGTTCTTCGTTAGGGAAAGCGACAGGTCTGGGCGAATATCGGTCAGCGGTGGGGTCCAGGACACATGGCAGACCAAAGAACGCAGGGAGAACTCACAAACTGTCAGGAGCATGATAAGAAAGATACCCGAGACGAAGCACTTCAGGATCTGGTTGCGGATGCGCTTCGACTGAATCCAGGGGAAGCAGAATAGGAAGTACTTCGGCGTGGGTCGCTGCCCCTGCTCCTGCTCCCGCCGGCGCTGACGACGTCTGTGGCGGGCCTCCCTCCTCTGCTGGTACTCCTCCTCCGTCTCGCCCTCCCGCCTGCTGCTGCTGCTACTGCCGCCGCTGCTGTCGCCGTTGCGGTGGTGCCTCCTCCGCCTTCTCCTCCTGTCCCGGCCGGTGCCGGCGAGGTCGGCAAGGTGCTGCTCCGCCGGGTCGGCGGCGCTGAGCCCTGATCCCGAGCTTCCTCCCCTGGCGTGTCCGGGGACGTGGGCGGCGTGCACGGCCGGGCGGGGCTGGGCCAGCTCGGGGAACATCGGTCCTCCGATCATGGAGCCAGCCGAGCCTGGCCTGCGCACAGGCACTAGCGCTGGGGCCTCGCCTTGCCTTGTTGTCGGGCGCGAGGGGGGTCCGTTCGAGCCCTGGGTCCACGTCCTCGTGAGGTTCGGGAGGTGGAGCCTCGTCGACGGGAGATGAGGCATGTTGATGGAAAAGTTGGCCGACTTGGGCGAGAGCGGCTCGTCCGAGTAGTGGCTGCTCGTGGGACGAGGGGCGTACTGGGCGTACGCGGCGCCGCCCTGGGCATTCTGCTGGGCGGCCACGCTCGAGCGCCTGCTCAAGAATGAGGGGATCGCGGGGCGAGAGAAGCTGGAGAGCCGGTGGAGGAAGCGGGGGTTGGCAGCTGCGCGCTCCTCCATCTCCTGCCTCGGGCGCGGCGAGTCCGGTGCCGAGCTGGGCGCAGAGCTGCTGACCGTGCTGGCGGCCAGAGCTGGGGCCTGCTGGCGCTCGACATCGTCCGCCGGACCGTTGCGGCGCAGGATTACCCTGATAGAGTCCATGTTTGCTAGGGCGCGAATGAGGTGTCGTCGTTGTTACAAAGGTTCGATTCGCCAAGTCAGGCGCAATGCATTCGAGTCGTGAGCGTTCGGACGCTTCGAGTGTGGCGAGCGCTGTCCTTTTCGTCTCGTAGATATTCGCTCGTGTGTCTTCAGTGGAGATTAACGCGCTCTCTGTTCCAGACCTGCAATATCTTGCAGCCAGGGAGGTGCGTGTTGAGGTGTTATCAAGGGAGAATGCCTTGTACCAGATCGATTGTCTCGCTCTGCATACCCGGTCGGCACAAGGGGAGGAGTCGGTATAAACAACAATGAAAAAAGAACGATCAACGGGCGGGAAGAAGAGAATGCATACACAGGTGCAGAAAAGAAAAAAACAAGGCCGCGAGGCTCGCAGAGCCAGTCGAGACGTCCAGAGCGCCCGAGATGGGGAAAAGGTAGGGTGCGACCAGACCCTAAGATGGAAAAGAAAACAATGACAACGAAAGAAAGGCAAGGCCAGGGCCCAAGCTCAAGATGGAAGAAGCAAGATCGCCAGGACTAGGGAAGGGAAGGATCAATGACAGCCACACAGACGGTCGCAGCCAACGACATACCCGACGGCAGCCCTAAGCACAAGGCACCAGCAGGATGCAGGTGCAGCCGAGCCAGGGAGAAATCAGGGCATCTAATGGCCTATGAATTCCGGAATCGCCTCTCCCTTTGGTTCCAGCGAATGCGGTTGGTACCCGCCCAGGTGGTCCAAGTGGGTAGGAGCGGGTGGATATAGGTGGGTGTGGGGTGTGAGTGGATGGTGGATGGCGATGCATCACGAACGGCACCTCCTGATCAAAAAGCCGCCCAAAGTGCCAACAACAAGCAGCATGGAAACACACAGACTGCAACCCGGCCATTGCTCAGACAGACGGAGGGGACACACGGCCGATCGCGAGAAATGGGCGCCTGCCCCCTTGCCCCTTGGCACAGGCGGCCCTTTGGGGGAGAGAAGCTCCAGTCCGCTCCAAATCGGGGCGTGTTTAGTGCCCAATAGTCTCCGACGAACGACAAGCGAAGCCTGCACATGCAGGCGGCTGCCCTGCCCCTGCGTCAACCACGGCCCCATGTTCGTGCTTGTTGAGAGCACAAAGAGCCGCTCCCTCCCTCTCTTCTCTCGCCTCTCTCCCCAGCGCACGCGCGCGGAGGCCGCATTGTATCAGCCTGGCGTCCCCCTGGCTGCTCCCGCACACCAAGTCGCCAACAAGCTCCGTTGCGATTGGAAGCCGCCGCTGCACGCCAGCGCGCCGCTTCATGCTAGGCGGTCCCGGCCGCCCTGATTGGACAGCGCGCGACTTTCTGCGACAGTCATTGGGGCGGCGGCGAGCAAGCATGATGGAAGGGGCAGGGGGCCCTAGTCGGGGAGCCGTTTCAGAACGACACACGCTAGGGTCAACCCCTGTCTGTGCCAGGCGAGTCAACTTCCCTTTGTGCTCGCAACACCCTGGGCCAATCAGGCAAGACGCTCTCCTGCGTCCAGGGTTCAGAATGTTCCAAAATAGGCCGTTTCTGTTTTGAAACAATTGGGCACAAAAACCACGAGGCATCTTGGAGAATGTGCATGTTGTGCTGTCAACTTTACGATTAATCCATGTCGTTGTCTGGTTTGGTTGTGCGCGCCCACAGCTGTCACTCTCGATATCGGTTCGGTGCACGGCTTTCGAGAGAAGTGGGGCTTCAGCTAAATTACCTTGGTACCTTTTGACAGACAGTGATTTCAACTTCCATCTCTCCTCAAGGGCATGAACTTGATAAACAGTAACCACATGGAGAAACAACTCTGTCCACACCGAGAACCCGGTTGCGTAGTGAAAATCCTGACAAATCAGGATAAACAACGGCCCGCGCAGATGCCCCGGATTTGGATCAAATGACCCCAGTCAAATCTCCTCAAGTCTCAGAAGATCCCCCCATCAGGGAATTAACTCCCATGACGCTTATAGCTGCCCCGGACTGTGTCATAAGGCTTGGTATCAATGAGGAGGAAAGGAAAAACAAGAAAATCGTCCGCGGCTCTCCACCAACTCGAGACGACGACCTCCCAATGCGGCTGCTCGGCCGCAGTGCGCCATCGGTCCGGTATTTTGCCCCATCACCGCCCATGTTTTCCAGCAGTGAAGGACCTCGCGTCGATCAATGACACATGATCTCGAGCGTCGAGGCTTTGGAGAATGATCGGATTACTTATCAAAGCCCCTCTTGAATCTGGTGAGACATTCAAGTCGGGGCGCTTCCTTTTTACCCCGAGCCTCCTGGAGCATTCGCTCCACCTTAGCATCACCGCAGCTCTCCGAGGAGGAGCGTTCTATCGGTCGAACCAGACAGAACTGGCATGCAGAGTTAGCACAAGCCTTTCGTGTATCAGAATGGGAAAACTGATCAACTTACGTAATGACTCGGATCCGGGACTGAACTCCACGCAGTTGACCGCGGCCTTGTGTCCAGGCAGTTTGTAGAGCAGCTTGCCAGTCTCGTTAGACCATATCACGACCGTGCCGTCAGCCGCGCCAACAGCGATCCTCTTGCCCGCCTTATCCCAGCCTCCACGAACCAAGTTCTTCTCCAGTCCAAACGGCGCCCCATCGAACGTCCGGATGTGCCTCGTCGTCGGTGCGAATGGCCGGATGTCCCAGGTACGTGCTGTAGAGTCCATCGAATATGACATGAGTGTCTGCGAATCTGGCGAGACCTTGAGTGACGTGATGGTGTCTCGATGTCCAGTCATGGTGTATACAGCGGCCTTCTTTCGTACGTCCCACACTTTGACATCGTTGTCGATTCCGCCCGAGTAGATCGCGTTCCCCGCCTCCGACATGGCGACTGCTGTTATCGGGAACCCGGTCTCGATATAATCCACTGCGTTCTTTTTGCGCGGGTCCCATATGCCGATGGTGCCGTCATCACTTCCGCTGACAAGGAGTTCGTCTCCACGTTTGCTAATGTCCAGCGAGTTGATCACTTCCTCGTGCCCCACGTATCTGCGAATTCGCGTGCCCGAGGTCAAATCCCAACTGGCGAGGTGCATGTCGGCCGAGGCAGAGAACAAAATGTCCGAATCTCGCGACCATTGCAGATCGAGAATCGCACCCTTGTGGCCAGTAAGGATCCCATAGTTTTCGCAGTTCGTGTGCGCCTTCCAAAGTACTGTAATCATCTCGGGTTGAACAGTCAGCGGCCTGCAACAGGCACGGGTGTGCTTCGCGATCGGGGGACTTACATATCGACCTATCCATCGACCCCGATGCGACATATTGGCCGCTCGAATTGAACTTTGCAGTAAAGATCTCTCCAGAGTGGCCGGACAGCTCCATCAGTGGCGCCTCCAGTGAGCTCAGGCGAGGTCCCTGTGAGATGTAACGCGCTTGTTAGCATCCGTATAAGGACCATATTTCCACATGCAACTGGGGCGCAGCGCATCGTGACCAGCAGCCTCGCATCCCACCTACCGCTTGTATAAGCGCGCCATTCCCAGAGTAGCCATCACTTCGCGCAGCGGCGCTGCCAGGCCCAAGGTTCGGTCGTTTGACCAGCTGCGTGGTGCTGGGCTCATCGGATGCTGGGCGTTTTTCTGCGGACATGTCGAACGAGGGCATACGTTCCGAGAATAGGGGGTTCGTATGGACAGCCGAATGCGGCCGTCAGGTCCAGACTGCTCGTCGCGAGGTATGTGGCACTGATTTTTGCGGCTGTCTGGTCAAGTTGGTTTGTCGCGTCCTCAGCCTTGTCGTGACTTCAGCTTCGCAAGGTGCGAGCTAGGAATTGTTTTGGATACTAGCAAACACTGTGTATTCAGACTGTATTGCAAGCTCCGTCCGCATAGATAGTGGGGCAACAAACACTGCCTGCGCTGGCGGGACGTTCTTATCTTATCGCTGACACCCACCTGACGCGCCGCGCCTCCCGCACATTGCATTACGGTCTGCGCCTACCGATATTGCCCCTTGTGCTCGCTATACCCAACCGACACCCTCATCCGCGACTCGAGACGCAACACAACCAGGCCGAGACATCCAATCTGTATAGTAACGGTCACCATACCTCACAGCCCATCCTCGAGCCTTCCCCGCGAGGATGGCTGCCAACAAGGCCGCCCGCATTGGTGAGGAGTACGTGCAAACGTCTAGAGCCCCCGCACCATCGCCTGTGTTGTTCGCCCCTCGTGAAGAAACAACTATTGACAACTCTATAGGATATGGAAGTAAGGTCCCCCAAAGGCTCCTGGCTCGTATACCTGCTGATGCGACGAAGGACCCGAATCGACAAGGTCAACGCCGAGCTCGTCACTTTGACCTACGGGACGATCGTGGCGCAGCTGTGCAAGGACTTCGATAGTGACTATATTGCGGTCAACAAGCAACTTGACAAGATGGGCTACAACATTGGACTGCGGCTCATTGAGGACTACCTGGCAAAGTCGAACACAATGAAGCGGTGTCTGAACTTCCGCGACACGGCCGAGATGATCGCAAAGGTCGGCATACACGAACAAGTCCACAGTCTCGCCAGACATCTTTAAATAGTCAGCATTAACACTGTGTGGTATAGGTCGGCTTCAAGATATTCCTCAACACCACGCCAACGATCACCAACTGGACGAGCGATAGCAAACAATTCTCTCTGGTCTTTGACGAGAACCCCCTTGCGGACTTTGTCGAGCTGCCGGACGACGGAAGGGCACAGGACGAGCTATGGTATTCCAACATCCTCTGCGGTGTTCTGAGGGGCGCTCTTGAGATGGTCCAGATGCAAGTCGAGGCCCACTTCATCAGCGACGTTCTACGGGGCAACGATACCACCGAGATGCGCATAACATTGGTGCGATACATCGACGATGAGCTTCCGCCAGAGGATGACTGAGGCCCCAGGGCATGGATCCGTCGGGACACATATGGGCATTAGCATAGTGATGGCGTGGATGGGGTTTTCTCACGCCTAGCTGGTTGGCTCGTGGTTGTAAAATTCTGACAGCCGCGCATTTCCTATACAATCAGGCAATTTTCGGTCGTTGGTCAATAAAGTACGAAGAAAGGAATAATAAAAATAAGCACACAAACTCATGATCATATAAGTCCATCAAGTTATGCCATGAGTTATTACCTCGTTTGACATTTTTCTCGAACCAGTGTCGCGAATTGTGTGGATTGCGTCAATATCTCGGCTCGAAGTGTTTCCTGAGTCCTTAATTATCAGAGCCCAGGCGAGCTGTTGGTTGGTAGGGACCTTGACATGGATGAGGGATCGGCGCTCGGCGGGCTCGCTCCCCATACCATCTGGGCTGAATGTAAGCAATGGAAGCCACCGCACCCCCGCGCGCCAATGTGGAGAGCGTTTGTTGCGGGTCCCATAGTACCGTGGACTAGTCCATTTAAACGCGTCGGCCGGGCCCGTCTCTACAGATTGTGGCTCTCCCGCGCCACCAAAGCCGGTAATCTGGGGAAAGAAAGGGTCGAAAGGCGGGCTGAACTGAGAGCCAACATGAAAAATAATCCTGGCGCATGCATCGTCGGCACGACATGCGAGATGGCGCATATGCACGGCAGTTGGGGTTCCTGCAGTTTCTGCGATTCTAGGGCCAGAGCCACAGTTAGAGGCCAAAAGAGGAAAATATATGACATCGAGAGTGCCCAAATACAGACAAAAATGTGCGGTCAGAATCCAGTCCCTTCTAGGGTAAGATACGCTGCCTCCAAGAAGCAAAGAATGCCACAGCCCTTGCAATAGCCTGGGCCGCTGATTCGCAGCCTCGGCTTTGCGGTACTCTCAACAGCATCAATGCGCCATGCAGAGGCTTGGCTTTGACTGCTCATTTCTTTTCCATGTTTCTGCGTCGACCTCCGTATCTTCTCCCCGGTTAAAGAAATCGAGTCTAGCGACATTCCAAGGTATGCTTTATCTCGGTCGAGGAACTGCATTCTACTTTACTAAACTTGGGTGCTCAAAATAAACATCACTCAATGGTAGATAGATATATCTTCGATTCAGCACGGCCTCCATGTACGACGGGAGTCTTCCCAACCCGCACTGTTGCACTAGGTAACCAAGCTTTGGGAGAATTATTGTGGGCAATCAAATACTGGTCTTCCTAGGTTATTCTAGACTAGGCGGCCCGATGTATCTGCCGGGACCGGCATGCTCGGAAGAGCAAGAGGCTCATGGCTCTCAGAACTTACCTAGGTGCTACACTCGTACATTGATCGCGATAGGTACCTGTCGCTAGGTATTGCCACCCTGACAACCTCGCTTCCTTTTGCTTCTTCAGGCGTCTAGAGCGTGATTTCTAACCTGGTCATCACGCGCCACGGGAAAAATGGAGGGACTTGTGAGCAGCGAGGACATGGACCTCCCCGAAAATCACGTCAATTTGGGTTGATGGGGCACCAGAGACCCTTCGCCCCTAACAACGCCCCCCTGACGCGACACGACCTGGATCTGTCCCCACATAGTATTGCGACCGACGATGTGACCTGGATGGGGTCAATACACAGCACCTATGCGCGTGCTGGGCGCTGAACGGGCGCGAGGCGAAAATTCTATCGACATATGCGCGCCCACGAGATTACACGGCTCAGTCTGCTGATGTGTGTGGATGCTAGCTGTTGGGTAGTACATACGTTGGCAGGTATGTCGATGCCTCACGTTCAGCCACTAGATATGTCGGGATTGTGTGTCGCGATTCCGAACATGGAGCGCGACTTCGCTGCATGCTGGAGTGGCCAAGTGCTACAAAATGAGCGGCACGAACAAGGGGTAAATAAATTTCAAAGATTGCAGACATGCAACGGCACATTAACGACGAGGTCAAACTTAGGCCTGGGGCAATACAAAACCGCCCCTGCGCAGTGATCGCGAATCATCAACGCTTAGGTAATCACGTGCAGTATGAGATTTACCCACCGCGCAGTTGTAGCTGCCTTAACGCCGAGGAGACTTCAACGCGCTCTAGCCGCACCAAAATCTGGGTTGATCATACTAGAAAAAATGTGCAAGATATTTAACAATATGGGAGAGCAGAACCGAGTCTTCTTGTAAAATTCCGAGGTCGTGCAGGGTGATTGCGCTGCTGTTAAGGCTGGTGGCGCTGTTACCCGGACACGGTCCCGAGTCGGGTCACTGCGCAAGTTCTGGAACGGTGTGATTTTGTCCGAATGATGGGTTTGGCCAAACCATCCACCTTCTTTTCCCTCCTTCCCCCAGAGTGTGCGGGAGCCCGGCTCTACAGCTTCATCCGGAACTCGCCCAATTTCCTGCAGTAATTTTGATGTTTTCCACTCGGTTATCTCCACAAACCACCAGCTTGCCAACGCGGCATCACGCAGACCGTACTTGCAGCCTTGACGGCGTGGATTGCAGGCGGAGATTCGCAGCGCAGCCGCGCCGCAGAAGGAGCAGCAGGCTAGCAGGCGAGGCGGTCTCGCCCGACCCAACCCCGTCCTATCGCTGTACTCAGTCTCGCCCCTCCCATCTTTTGCAGTCATAGTCGCCTTCATTCGCAGCCTGTCGACACGCCTCTGTCCCTCTCCGTGTCAGTCCCCGGCCCGAATCGCGTCGCTCTCTCGTCGCTGTTTGTTCGCAGCAGGCCGCACCGTCGGGTTTGCACCTGGTGCGCGCCCAAGGAGGCAGAATCAGCCAAGGGGGGCTTTCTCGAGCGGTGCCACGTCGTTTCGCAACCGCGCTCGCAGACTTTTCAACAAGACCAAACGCCCTCGCCGTCATTGACCGCTGCCTGCTGCGCTCTACGCCAGCCGCGACGCCAACGCCGTCCACGCGCAGACACGATATTTTCGCTTTTTCGGAAAGATGAACAACGTCGGCATGGCAAACATGGGCCCAATGGGTGGTCCTGTCGGGGCTACCATGCCCATGATGAACAACGGCAGCGGACCGGCGGGTCCCCAGAAGAACAGTAGAACGCTATTGAACACATATATCTACGAGTACTTTCTAAGGTTTGTTTGCTCTCTCTTTGGCACCCGTGCCCTCGCGCGATAGCACTATTGTTTGTTTCCTCATCTCCTTGCTAACATTGGTGACTGGTCAAGGTTTGAGATGTACGATTGTGCCCGGGCTGTCCTGAACAGCGACCCGCAACTCAACGTAAAGAAGGACAAGCGAGAAATTCGGGACGAGAACGGGAATATCACCACCAACGGTCTCGGAGACGATCCTATGGATACCGACTCCAAGGATGACATCGAGGGGAAGCGCCCAGACGACCTTCCGGCGCCCTCGCTGCCCACCTCGCAGACAGACAGTTGCTTTCTCCACGAGTGGTTCTGCATCTTCTGGGATATCCTGAATGCGCAAAAGGGCCACGGCGCGAGCCCACAGGTCAAGCAATACGTTGGCCACACCCAGGTGAGATTCTGCTGGTATCAACGGCGTCAAGCACTGCACACGTTCCGTTTGGCCATCTAACGCGACTGTTTCGCAGGCTCAAAACCGGATGAGGCAGCAGCAGCAACAAGACATGCTGCGGACTATGCGCACCGATATGACCCACCAGCAGCAGATGATAATGCGAGGCATTCCCCCCGGGGGCATGACCATGATGAGCAAGGGGAACCTGCAACGGGCTGCCATGGCCAACAATCAAAAGTATGTCTTTCTGATTTCGCCGCTATCTGGGCACATGATGTATACGCGCTTGAAGAGGGCGTGCTGACCCACGGTTGTCTCCTCTCGCAGCCCCCAGATGATGCTTGCGCACCAGAAACAGGGTCAGATGCAACGTGATCCTTCCGACATGGACGGCAACCGGCAACGCCCAGGATCGCCAAACTCGACCGACAACGCGCCTTCGCCTTCCAAGCGCGCTCGCCTCGATGCGGGCCCCTTCAACCAGAACCAACCTGGGATGTTGTCCAACGGGCGTCCTGCCGGACAGGGCATGCCAGGCCAGCAGGTAGGCCACGGCCCTCAGCAAATGCAGCAGATGCTCCTCGCCAACGGCGTTGATCCCAACGGAACTGTGAGCCCTGACCAAATACAGACACTCCAGAACTCGTCGTCACCGGCGGTGCCAACTAAGACTATCCAGACGTATGCGCAGAATCTCCAACAGCATCATGGCAACCAGATGCCCAACAAGCCGATGCCCAATGCCGGCGGTCCCCAGGGCCAAGGCTCTCCCATGGTCCCCGGTGGCCCCGACAGCAACGCGATCAACGCTTACTACAACGCTGCCGACATGACAGGCGGTCCCGGCGGCATGAGGCCCGGCGCCCCTGGGGGCGCTGGTGGAAGCAACCATGCTCTGCAGGACTATCAGATGCAGCTGATGCTCCTCGAGCAGCAGAACAAGAAGCGCCTCCTCATGGCTCGCCAGGAACAGGACGGTAACGGTACGGGCATGCCGCGGCCGGACGGCCCTGGTGTTGGCCCGGGCGGTCCCGGTGGCCCGGGAGGCCCCCCTGGAGCACCAAATGGTCAGCCCTTCCAGGGTGCTTCTCCGCAGGGTGCCAGGCCTGGTGCGTCCCCGAACCCCAACGAGATGAAGCGTGCCGGTCAAATAAACAACGGAAACATGGGCTCCCCTTTACCTGAAGGTGCTCAAAACCGGGAGTCGCCGAACCCCATGAGTTTCGTCGGCAATCAAATGGACCCTAACAATGCGCCGCACTTCTTCAACAAAGGCATGAACGAGATGAATGGCAACATGGTTGCTGCTCAGATGAACGGCATGGGACGGCCCCCGAGCTCTCACCCGGGGCAGCCTCCTTTCAACGGGATGAACCCGGCGCAGCAGCAGCAGATGATGGTGGCCGCACGTCAACAGCAGCTTGTAGCTCAACAGCAAGCTCAGCAACAAGCACAGCAGGCGCAGCAGCAACAACAGCCCCAGCAGCAGCCTGGTGGACCCGGCGGACCTCCCATGCAATGGCAAGGCGGCCCTAACGGGAACACCATGCCCGGTGGTCCGCAAGGGGGTCCTCAGCAAGGAGGGCCGCAGGGCCCACATGTCCACGGGACCCCTCAGCAGAGGGCTACCATGCCCCCACCTCCCACGGCCGCGGCGAACAGCAACGCAAACCAGAGGAACCAGACCGCATCCCCGCAGGTCAGCACTGCGGCACCCCCTACGCCACAGCAGGGTAACAAGCCCGGCCCGAAAAAGAAGGACACGAAGGCCAAGGACAAGGTGAGTTTCTCCCCACCACTAACAGAGGCCTTGTCTCTGTTAGTAGGTATGCATGGCATGGCTTCGCACATGCTACCTCAATGTTTTGCGAAATGATGGCATTCTAATCAAATGGACCCCGACGCAGAAGAAGTCCAACGCGAATCTCAATGCTGCTGCCGGCTCCACCCCCGCTGCGGATGCCCCTACGGACGGCGAGCCGCCGACTCCGGCGACTCCAATCACGCCCATGGCGTCCCAGAGCTTCGGCAACAAGGGCCAGAATCCAGCCCCTACCGCAGCCCCCGTTGCCCAGCCTTTGCCAAACGGCCAGCCGCCCACAGGTGCACCGGCTGCTGCACCTCCGGTTGCCCCGCCTCAGCATGCGGATCCGAACCAGTTTGGCATGGGAGACGTGGTAAGTCTCGTCATTCGTGTGCTGGTTTGCTGGACATGCCAGAAAGCAAAAATGCTGACAAGCCCCCCTGTTGCCTAGGACTTCGGTGGCGGCATGGACTTCGCGAACCCTCTTACATCGACGGATGTTCTCACCGACTTCGACTTCGACACGTTCCTGCACGACAACAGCGAAGAGAACGGATTCGACTTCAGCTCGACTACCTTCGGAATGGAAAGCGCAAACGAGATTGGGGCAGAGTAGGAATCTTGCTCGCTCGAGCTACCTACTCCCGTCGTGGGTCAGCAAAGCTTCCTGGCTCTGCCGGAGAATCCGCCTTCGTAGCGGGGTCTGGACACGCCTCTGGCCCTGTCCCGTCTTTGCCAACATCATACATCACATCTAGCTGCTCACGGTGTTCCACGGTCATTTACCACGGCGTTCCTCCGGCCTGGATTCTTCTGTATCTTTTTCTGTGACTTAACCCTACCTTTTCTCCTCGTCCAGCCGCATTTTCCTGTCAACGCTTTATCCCGCGAGTGGGACTCAACTTAGACCTTCCCCTGAGGCCCTACTCCTGTTTTTGGGACCTTCACTCGCAGTCACCATCTTGGCCATGTTCCTCTCCGTCAGGCAACTTCTTCCCCCTGTCTATATCCAAAAATGGCTTGCAGCTACATCTATCCATAATCCTCGTTACTCACTGCGGGCTCGATCGTCAGCCTCACCGTCTTCATCGATTTGTTCGGGTCAAGCATTCGCGAATCCGGTGCCCTGGTTTCTCCTTCGTTACTTGTTCACTTCGGATAGTCTGCTTTTTGTTCTTCTTTCAGGCTTCTCATCGATGGGGTCCTGGTGTTCTGCGCTGTGCTTTCTTGTATCTTTTTTTGCCTCCATTCCCGGATAGTCCACGGCCGTTGCTTGCTCTCCGCTTCTGCGATGGCGGCCTCACCTTTCAACGGACTACTGTCACATAGGCAACTCACGAGCTCGGCTGGGAATGGGGTTTGGGCAACGGCGGTGGGCGTGCTGTTTTGGCTTTGACTTGTTTTATTTCCCCACTCCATTTTCTTACCCTTTGGCACACGTATCCACGTCACGTGATGGATATGGAATGCTCTGCCGCCCGTTGGTGGCGCCACCTGAGCAGAGACCCTCGTTCTTGTTGCGTCTGCCAGCTGATATGCCGAGGCCGTGCGTGTCTGCCGCATGATAGGCGGAGTTGGTCCGCTAGCAGGCACATGGAATCCCAGGGGCATGTCTGGAAACCAACGAAAAGAAAAAGCAAGGTGAAAATTTCAGCCGATTTGTTGTTTCCCCTCACGGCCATGGTGTTGGTGTTGTCTCATTTTATGGCCGTCTTCTTCCCTTTGTTATTTCCCTGTATCCGTTTTATAAGTGCTGGTTAAGACCAAAGATGTCGTGGTCGATTGGGCAAGGTCGTGGAGGACAGACACCCCTGTATTTATTAAATCGTTCTTCCTATCAATGTCATCGCATTGGCTATCTTGACTTCGGTGTGGTGCTTGTGCGTTTCGGGCGACATGTGGCGTCCTGTGGCCGTGGGGGGGGACAGGTCGTTCTGCGCAGGTACCCCTTTTGCCGCGGTCTGCGTCACCACCCGCTAGCCACGATCTCGAATAGGAAAGGGTTAGTTAAGTTGCGTCACTAGCCTCAACACCCATATCCAACAATGCTTGCTCGCATCACGGTGGAGTGTTGGACCCCGCCTCTGTCCCCTCTCTCGACCCGAACTAGGTAGCCAGAAATCGGGTCGAGATAAATCACGGGTATTGATTTTTTATGAGGCATCAGTGCGGATGAATCTGTGGCCCGAGAAGAGCTCGCCACGTATCTGCTTTTGGATTCGTCCTAGCCGCGCCATTCGGCCAAAGCGAGGCCGAGAGTGATCTAGACAGGAGCGCGGCGTCTTCATATCTCTCAATAGCTGGGTAGGAATGCATATATATATATATATATATATAATGTATGTATGCATCGACTTGTCAGCCAATAGCCACTCATTGTTTGTAGGACCATCCGCTGACGGCCACGTGGGTAGAGTTGATACTCGTCCGTATTCTCCGCTATTAGAGACCCATCCTGGGGTTACGGCAAATGCGTGATAAAAAGGAGAGTAGCAAAATGAAAGCCAAAAGATATGTGAAAAGGCGAAGGAATGAACGAGATACCGAGGCATATGGGGACGATCACAGTGAAAGTGACTTGAGGTCCAGTTGTAGCGCCTAGCAGGCCACTTCAAAGCGCCAAGTAGAAGTGTCAGAAGTGATGGATATATTACCAAACACATTTCTTGAGTTAGGATGCAGGAGGCCATGACTTTCAAAGCGACTCAGATGAATCGTAGGCGATGCTCGCCTCACCCCTGCCCGGGTTTGGATTCAACCGAGAGGCTGACAGCCAGCCGAGGGCTGGTGTGAGGAATGAAAGGCTGGACCAAGAACGCCACTTTAAACGGTTACCCGATGGGACAGGAATCGTGAACGGACGGACGCAAGAAACACGCGAGCTTGCATGTGGCGTCCGGCATCGGGAATAGGTATGCACCACCTCGACTGGGGGAAGCTCGAGGAAGAAACAGAACAAGCTCGCACAGCATGCCGTTGACGCAACTTACTGCACCCCGCCCCGAATGTACTTCAAACGTCGGCGCCCGACATGCCCGAGGCTGACTGCTCGAGAGACGGTCACGCAGGATGGCCAAGATAAACTCGGGAGGGGGAAGTTGTACATTGTATCAAGGCCAATATCACTGGTCGCAGCTTGCATGCCCATTATTTTCGTCGTCCGATAGAATGCATCGCGTGTGGACCTGAGAGGGCGCACACCCCGACCAGTAGCTGTTGATGGGTTTTGGACTGGAACAGAGCAAAAAAAAAAAAAGCATGCGGTTCAGGCCCACATGAAAAGAAAGAGCAGGGGGTTAGATGCAAGCGTGCCGGGATGTGGTTGGGGCAGAGTAAGGCGAAACCAAGCCGCTGGGTGTGACCCCCTGGCCCTGGCCCTGGCCCGCCTGGCCGGCGCGCGCGCGGCCCTTTGAGCGGGCGGGGATCGTCCAAACGGCTCGGAGAGATGATCGATTAATGGCAGGACGCTCTGCTATGGGTGGGTGTGGGCGGCTTTCTCGCCTCAAACTGCCATCCTTTCTACTGCTGCCTAAGTGCTTAGGTTTTTCTTATTTTCTTTACATGAAATTGTGCCGGTTGGTGAGTTATATTTTGTTCATGGACAACGCATCGCGCAGGGCCCGATTGGGCTTGACGGACCGTTCTGATTGGAAGGAGCTTCCCTCTGAACTTTTGGAGGGGCACCTGCTCTGGCTTGCAGTAGCCGGCCTCACGTTCACTGATTCTTCAGGCATGGACTCTCCGACTTCCAAGTTTATGCACTGAACCATCGCATTCGCACACGCACCTAAGATCCCCAACAAGTCGCCCAGCCATCGCTGCCTTGGAATGTCGTCCGGGCCGGGAAGCCCAGCCCATACCTCTCCGCGACGGTGACTGCGGCTCACTTCCCAGTCGGCATCAACGCGGCAGACGACCGACCCTCCCTCACGGGTCATCTCGAAAAAATCTTGGGATTGCGCAGGCACGCCCGTCCAAGCACAAGCAAGGCACCAAAGGATGCGGGGTGGGGGCCCCTCAAGAGCGGTGGTCAACATCATGCAGCAGCCACAGCCATGCCAGCCCACATACCCACTCCCGTCCATTGGCGTTGGCGGCTCACCGTTCTGTTGACAGCGCACCTTTGCCGTGCCTGTTTCAGGCCACGCGATTAGATGGAGCCCGCCCTTCGGACGCAGGAACCTGTCGGGCTGGCGGGAGGGTGTGCGCGGCGGGCTCGATTGGGGGTGGCGTGTCGTGGCCAGGGGGGGATTGTGGATGGATGGTGTGTTGCATCACCCCCTGGCGCCTGCACCCAAAACGCACATTGACGGTTTTATTTTTCTCTTCATCATCCTGTTTTCAACATTTGCCGGTTCCGCGCTTTCAGAGGCATCGCGCCTTGCCCAGCTCGCCGGAGAAAGATATCCTGCCGTGTTATACCCTCCGATATAGCGTCAAAACCCTGGCACCTTGCACCCGCATCCTCTTCCACCAAGTCTAACCAAAGGAACGAGCAACCGCAAGATCCAATCGCGGCCTGCCGGAACCTTCTGCTCTCCCTCCGTCCGCCCCTGTACTGCCTGGCTGGATCCCCAAAAAAAAGGGGAAGGCTGGACAAACAAACAGCGGGGGTTTCCGCTCCATTTCTTGCTTTTGTGTCTCTACGAATTGTTCGTCCGATGATGGACGACACGGCCTCGCGCCTCCACGTAAGACTGCTTATCGCCTGGGCGTCCTAACACAATCTTCTTTTTCGTCCGCCTACTTGCTTTCTCTGCCTTGCCACACCTCCCTACCTCTCCAGCTGGCCACGGAAACAGGCCGAGCGGCACTCGGCAAGCGCCGATCCTTGCCGTTCTGCTCCTAAATCAAATCATGCTCTTCTAGACAAAAGGAAAGCACGCTGTGTCGGACAGATTATCCGCGGCCCCCCTCCCCAGCCGTGCGTCCTTTTTTCCCTCATGCTGGCTGCACCGCCTGTTTGTCCTGGGCTTCTGGAACCCATTGGGTCTCCTTGAACGACGCCAGGACGCATCCCCCTGGCCACCCACTCCTCATTTCCCAATCAAGCCGAGCCGCCAGGGTCTCAGCACTGTGGAGTCTACCTGTCTTCTGGTTCTCGGCAGCGTCTCCGGTGAGGGAACCCACAGTGGCTACAGCGCTTGCAGACGGCCCTCGTTCCTGCCCGCTGCCTTCCTCAGCCGGCCCCCAAGCCTGCAGATGCATAGGCGAAGGCCTTGCCGGCGTGGTCTTGGCCTCTTGACTGGCGTTTTGCCACAGGGTTCCTCCCTGGGCGTGCCTTGCCTTGCACTAACTGCCGGCATGGGTCCCTCCCTTTAACGCGCTCCTGAATGTACCCCCTCTGATCTGCTGCCACCCGTAGTGTACGTATATAGCTACACATGCCGTTTGGTTTCCATGCTTTCTTTCTTTTGCCGTCCCGTCCTCAGGCCTGCCTTGCCTCGACCTCTCACACGTGGCTCGTCTTCCGTGCTTTACCTTCGTTACTTTTGCCTTCCAGGTACATCCTCCGTTCGTTTTATACCCGGTTCTCAAGAAACCAGTCAGCGGTGCTTTCTTCACTTCGCTGCACGCCTTCGTATTCATAAGTCCCTCTATTTTCTGAAGCTTCCGCTGCCCAGGGCAACAGTGAAAGCCGGGTCCTATTCACTTCCTACCCGACTCACCTTAGATATACATACATTCTTGACCACCTATACTTACTCATATACCCTCTTTCTGATTTTTTTGTTTTATCTTAACCTTTCCGAGAACTTTTTTTGTTACTCGCAACACTCATTTTCAGCCGGAAGACACCGAACACCAACACACACCTACGTCTGTATTCGTCAACTTTCACTAACAGACCACACAACCCCAACCATCCAACATGCTTCATCACACCGGATTAATCCTGTCCTTCCTGGCCGGGCTCGCCTGCGCCGGCCAGGCCCCCAGCCGCGAAGCCGAGGGGCTCAAGGTTATCTTCGAGGACAGGTTCCCGGGCGCGGCCGGGGCGTTCCCCAACGCCGAGGCCTGGACCATGATCGACGGCGGCCGGGTGACCAACAACGAGTACCAGACGTACAAGGCCGACAACAAGAACATGCAGATCTCGGGCGGCGGCACCCTCCAGATCGTGCCCAACAAGGACGCGTCGGGCAAGTGGACATCGGGCCGGCTCGAGACCAAGGGCTCGTGGGAGGCACCCGTGGGCGGCATGTTGCAGATCGAGGGCGCCATCCGATTCGGCTGGAACCCCAAGACGAGCAAGCGCGGCATCTGGCCGGCCTTTTGGGCCATGGGCGACTCGATCCACCACGGCACCCCCTGGCCCCAGTGCGGCGAGCTCGACATCATGGAGCAGCTCAATGGCGACCCCGTCGTCTACGCCACGGTCCACTGCGGCGTCGTGCCCGGCGGGCCCTGCAACGAGATGACGGGCATCCAGTCCACCACCCCCATCTCCGACGACGGCTTCCACACCTGGGCCGTCCGCATCGACCGCCGCAACCAGGACTGGAGGCAGCAGGTCATCACATGGACCAAGGACGGCCAGGTCTTCCTCACCGTCACCGGCGAAAGGATCAACGACCAGGCCGTCTGGAGCACACTCGCTCACAGCCCCATGTTCATCCTCATGAACGTTGCCGTCGGTGGTGACTGTAAGTTTTTACATAGACTCATGGACCATGAATTTCTTGGCCTCTTTACTAAACGTTTTCTTCTCTCACAGGGCCCGGTAACCCGGATGACCAGACCATGGGAGGATACGGCTCCATGATGGAGGTCGAGTACGTTGCAGTTTACTCCACGTAGGCCAACAGAAGAGCCGAAATAAATGAGACGCCTTTATGATGATTTTTGTCTGCTGCGATATGTCTGCAGATCCTATTGCTCGTCCTTGTGCCAATCGTGAATTTGTGGCATGCCGGCTCTCTTGCGCTAATTATATTGAGGAAAATGTGAAATAACTTGCTGGACAGGCGCGATGGGTGTGGCTATCTGTAGCCATCTCAGCAAACCCCCAATCGATGTGCATGTGGTTTCCTCCGCCGCTGCACAATCCCCAGCGCCCAGCAATCGCCTCATGTCCTCTTTGGCCTTGATTTTCCAACAGAGTTTCCAGTGCGTTTCTTTTTTGTCTGTTTTTCGTCTCCTTTGACCAAGAAGTCACCTGTGTTCGCTATGAACAATGAGGCGCTGATATCCGTGTAGTAGTAGATGTAAGTATATTTCCTCTTTGATGCTCTCATCTCTCGTGCGAACCCAACCCCGTCCAGGCTAGGTGCTGGAGTTGGTGTAAGGGTCCGCTGTGCGCATTGCCTTGGCAGGGGTTTCGAAGTTGGTGAGGCGACTCCAGAGTGAGCCTTCTTGCCTGCCCTTCCTCTCTCTCGTAACAGAGGCTGATCCCTGCTGTCACAGACTAACTTGTGTAGGGTTCAAGAATGAAAGTGAAATGGAAACAAAGAAGCTGAAAGGGGAGTAAAGTGGTTGAAAAGAATAGACCAAGTCCGCCACGGAGGCGTCGACCCCGGTCGAAAAGGTAGGAATCTGGTCAAAGTCAAATACTGTCTCCGGATGTGAACTTGAGCTCTGGTGGTGCCTTGCGCGCATCCCAGCAGCTTCCCATCATTCCGAAATGGTTGAAAGGGTAAGTCTCCCCGTCCGAGAAGGGATCGTTGGCGACGAGGAAATCGCCAAACGGGCTGGTGAGCGTGACCAGCGGCTCGGGGACGGGATGGACGAAGGCGTTGGGATCGTCAATGTCGCTGTACATGAGGGTATCCGACATGGCGCACTCGGCGCGGCCGGCTAGCGTCTCGTCGGACGCGTAGCAGGCGTCGCCGACGAAGTCGGGCACCGGCATGTCCTCTGGCGTCGGCTTGGGCCCGTCGAAGATGCGCTTGTAGTTGCTGCGGCGGAAGGCGTCGGCGTCGTAGACGCTGGTGAGGTGCTCGGCTTTGGCCTGCACGGCGACGGCCCTGCGCTTGATGGACAGCGCGCGGGAGCCGGCCGGCGCCACGGCAGCTCGCGGGCGCTTCTTGGCGACCACATCGCGCGGAGCGGAGGCATTGCCTGTGGTGCCGGCTGAAGGCTTCGCGACCGGCCGCTTCTGCACGCCATGGCGGTTCTTGGCCGGCTCGCCGATCCTCCGGACCGACGCTTGCTTGGGTCCCTCGGCGCCAGCCCTCGCTGGCACCTGCTCCTGATGGGCGTGGTGGGGCTGGGCCACATCGCTGCTCTTCTTGGCCAACGCCGGTCTAGGGGCATCGCGATCGTTGGTGGCATCGCCGTTGTCACTTGCCAGCACCTGCCTGGGGCCTTTGTGGGTCTTGATGACCTCGTCGCCCTTCCTAACCAGCTTCTTCTTGGGTCTGTCGGTAGCAGATCTCGTAGGCACTTGCTCTTTGCGGACGCGGCGAGGCTGGGACACATCGTCGTTCTTCTTAGCCAACGCCGGGCTGGGACCAGGGTGGCCCTTGGTGATCTCGCCGTTGCTGCTGACCAACGCTTGCTTGGGCCCGTCGGCGACAGATCTCGCACGTACCCGCTCCTTATGTGCGCGGCGAAGCTGGCTTACATCACCGTTCTGTTTGGCCAACGCCGGTCTGGGGACATGGTGACCATTGGTAGCCTCGTCGGTCTTTCTGGCCAACGTCTTCTTTGGTCCCTTGGCAGCAGGTCTCACAGGTGCTTGCTCCTGATGGGCATGGTGAGGCTGGGTCATATCGCCGTTCTTCCTGGCCAAAATTTGCTTGATCGCCTTGACAGCAGATCCCGCACGCACCTGCTCCTTATGGGAGCGGCGAGACTCGTGGCTGTTTCTGGCCACCGTTCGGTCGATGTCGGGGTAGAACTTGGTTATCTTTGTTTCATCGTCGCTCCTTACCCACGCCTGCTTGGGGCCACGGCGGTCCTTGGTCGCCTCCCTGTTCCTGACCAGCTCTTTCTGGAGTGTATCGGCAGCAGACCTCGCAGCTGCTTGCCCATGATGGGCAGGACGAGATTGGGTAGCCGAGCCGCTGTTTCCGGCCAGCGTTTTCTTGGGTTCATCTATAGCAGATCTCGCGGGCACCTGCTCCTGGTTGGCACTGCGAGACTGGGTGAACTTGTTGCTTTTCTCGGCTAACGCTTGCTTAGAGCCGTGATGGCCCTTGGTCGCTTCATCGGTCTTCTCGATCAGCGCCTGCTTGGGGCCATGACGCTCACTGGTCGCCTCCCCGCCTCTCTCAACCAACGCTTGCTTGGGAGCTTGGGGATTCTTGGCCGCCTCGTTGCTGTTCCTGACCAGCGCCTGCTCGGGGTCACGGTGATCCCTCGTCGTCTCGTCGGTCTTGGCTACCGCTTGCTGAGATTCAGCGATACGATCGCCTGGGTAGGTCACGGCAGTTCTGGCCTTGGTTTCGCCACTGTGGTTCGGGCTCGGGGTCGGGCCACTGTACCCGGGGGCCCTGTAGCCTAGGATAGCCTCAGGCGAGCGCCCCAAGCCAGTGCCAGTGGCCGTCCGGGGGACATGGTCTGTCTTCCTCGAGGCTCCCGGCACCCTGTCCCTGGACATGGTGGCCGGGTAGTCTCGATCTTCCCGGCGCGACTGCTGGCCGGGAACAGAGATGCCTCTACTCGCACCGGCAGAGTCTGCCCTCCTATACTTCGCCGCTGGGCTGTGGGCGCGTGATGGGGCCGGGTACTTTGAGGCCCTGCTCTGCTGGCCGTTGATTGTGGTCTTCCTCGGCGTGTCATATGGGGTCCGACGCCTTGCTCCCTTGTTGGAAAGCGGCCGCTTGACCACATCTCTGACGGGATCGCAACCGTCATCTGGTTTCTTGGCTCTGATGAGCGGTTCCACTACCAGGCTGGGCTTTGGTGGCAGTGAGTGTAGCTTTCCGGTCGCCATGATCGCCTATGTAGTGTGTTGTCAGAGTTGAACGACGTTTTGGTTTTCCCTTCTCTGATACCTCCTTTTCTGTTCATGAGCTTACTTACCATGGTTGCGTCGGTAACGTGAAAAGTGTCTGTGGTTGTCGGCAGTGTCTGTAATGTATTTTCTGTGAGCGGCTGAGGAAGGTAGTGGTAGAAGAAGGTGAAAGTCGAGGATATGGAGCCCCAAGTTGCGTGCTGGGTGGGGGTCTTACTAGGTAAACCTGAGGGCAGGCTGGGGATTTGGGTCCCACGAATTTGTCTGCCACCAAAACTCCGTTGAAAGAGACTTTCTGCAAGGATTTGGTCAAGGCTTAGACGGCGGTCGTGGGTATCAGCTATCATGTGGAAAATCTACCAGTCTCTTGATGCTATTGTGCTCCATTGAAGGATGCTCTATGCTCAGTCAGTGCACTGGTGTTGTGAGCAGGCGTGGCTTGGCGGCTGGGTATCGGCCGTTAGATGGCTGGTGATCAATGGAGGGTGGGGAAGACCGTGAATAAGAGGTTGTTATTGACGTCCCGGTTCTTATTGTTGGGTCGGGCTGGCGTGCCTCAGGCTCTATATACTTGCTCGCTCCTTCCCTTTGCGGAACCGGCGCGAGGAGGAGAGATTCTCTGTCAGTTAGAGCAAAGATCCCTGACCGGCATGACCTGCTAGCACGGACATGCTAGCTACCTCTTATCCGAATGGTGGATATCAGACATATGGGAGGTTGACGGACAACAGCGCAAGACGCAGCGATATAAAGAAGCTAGTTCCCACGCCATCGCCATAGAACTTCCGAAATTCTCGTGGACCGTAAAAGAAGGCAGTGTTATTTGTACGCGAGAAACTAGAGAGAACATGCGAGTTTTATAAAGCATAGACAGGTAAGAAAAGGGCAATATGGGAGGGGTCACAAGACCTCCATCCAAGTCAACAGATGCATACGAGTTCATGTCTATCGAGTTCGTGAAGAAATCGGCATCGTACAAGGCAGCTCGCCTAGGAACCCCGTCGCTACAGGGTTCGTGTACTAGTAGAATTACATGGATGATGTGGTTTTGTTGGTGGTACAGCGCCCACCGGAAGCGGACCACGAGTCCCGAGATCTCTGGCCTGCCCTCGATGCCCAAAGAAGTATATGATATGGGCCCTTGGCCCGATTGTTCTTTTTTGTTATTTGTCTCCTCTGGCTCGGCGTGCCGCCTTCCTCAGGCCGTATTCAGGCATACGGCAGGAAGATCTCGGCCCAGGAGCTCGACAAGATGGCGACTCCAACCTGGCGCGCCCGAAAAAGCAGCGGTCAGCGACGTACACAGACAGGGAAAGCCCGACAGGGCTGGTTAGCGGGGCTTTAACGCACGCCGAAGGCAGCAACGCTGCGGACGACAGATGCATGCTCTGGCGAGGTCAAGGCATCGTATGCGGCGCCGACGTAGCCCCTCTGCTGCACCTTTGGTTGGCCGCGGCGGGCGACCTGAACGCGAACACCTTTGGGAGGCATGGTGTCTGAAGATGGGCGGATGCTTGGTGGAGAGTGTGCTGGAGTTTGAGCCGCAGTCGTTGGTTTGCTGTGCGGCAAGGCGGGCAATCGGTTGGTGGAGATGCGTGGTCGTAGTCACCAGCAAAAAATTGATGGCGATACGCTCGATTCCCGTCGCGATGACAGATTTGTTATCTTATCGCCATAGGTGCGGCTGAACCTTGCTGCCGAGAGTAGAAAGTATGCGTCTGTTTAGTGTGGGGCTACAGTAGAAATGGCTTGTTCAGTGACATCAGTGGGACGGGGAACGCTCTCCAACCTTTCTCGTCGCCGGATTGGGATTCCTTCTTGGCCGGGGTTCGCATTCCATCGGTGCCCTCACAGAAAACATTCACAGCAAGAAACCACCTATTTTCTCGCGTCAACCATATATTGCCTCTCTAGCACCATACTTGCGCGTGTTTTGGCATCGATCAATCGAGCTAGGCTCTACCTAAGGTCTACCACTGCAATGACGGAAAGTCAGCAGACAGACAATCATGAACCCGGCGGATTTTTCCCTCCAGGAGCCCTCCCTTCACCTGCCCCCAGCAGCTTATCTACCACGTCCGCGGCGGGACTGCCTCGTCCACGCGCAACACCGCTGCGGCCTGGATCGATCAAGGAGAATAATGTCAGAAGGTTCATGGAGCGCCAGCTGCTTAGCATAGGCGCTCGCGCAATAAAAAGGTCGGCAGCCGACGAGCCAGGGATTGTGCCCGGATTCCGATCTATGGGCGAGCTATGCAAAGAGCTGGACGTCATCCTAAACCTTCTCTGGCAGACTGGCACCCCGAGCCTCCAGGTCCCGTACTTGTTGAACATTGCCAACGATCTCACCGACTGGCTGGAGTCTCTCAAGCCAGACCTGGCTCCGACCTTCTCCGCTCTGCATAAACTGGACCACTTCTTTGCTAGCTTGGTGGCGGGGCGCGACGTCCTGACCGGAGAGGTGCTCCCTGGCTTCGAATATGGCCCGGCCATGAGCCGCACTGACATGGTCAGGTGCAGGAGCTTAGCGGAGCAGACGCGGGTACAGATGGTAAACGTTATGAGGCGAGCCTCCGATCCGGAGGAAGAAGGGGAGGAAGAGGGAGAAGGAGAAGGCGGTACGACTTCGGTTGACGATGCGGAGACGACGGACGGTGACACCACAATGGATGATGGGGATGGCAAAAAGTCTTGGAAAGAGATCCTAAGCGAGGAAGATGACGACGACGACCAGATGGATGTTGGCCGTGTCTATGAGAAGACCCTGGTCGGGCTGGGGGCAGAGCTTGGTGACGGCCCACCCATTGGCATCATCGTCTGAGAGCGTAATCTGTCGGGTATGCTCTGGCGTCCCTTTGCACGGCCCATCAACCAAGCGTGCAGTATGCTGGTTTCACCTTTTCCTTACCTTGCCGGCACTTTTCGAGACAGCATTGCGTGCTTTGTATTGCACGGTACGTAGCCACACTCCTACGGGCTCAAGGGAAAACCCCGTCTTCGCCCGACCGAATGAAGACTTGCTGGCTAACAAGAATAGCGAATACCAAGACAAACGGTCACACTAGGTCTCTTCTATCCTGTGGCGTCTTGTGTGCGGCAAGTTCTGTAGCGTGAGCGAGAATGGCTAGACGCGAAGTCCCTTGCATATCGGCTACTGGTCTTTCCTTTCCCCACCGGATGACTACGACGGCCAGAGGGAAATTCTTGAAGGAAATCACAGGGAGAGGACAGGATACGCACACGCGATCGTCACCCATACGGCAAGGTCTCAGCCATCTCCTCGTGCCCATCTATCTCCAGGTGCCTGCGTCGACACTTCTCACGGCAGCGTATTACGGCACCTGGTGGCATTTTAGATCAGTTTAATCTTGTCTCTGCAATCAGATCCGACTCAGCTCGCCCGGAAGAGGGATCCTTTTTTGCGGCAGCTCCAAGTTCCGCGCTGGCGACAATACCAACGGGTGGGGCAAAGTCGCAGGGCGGAATGGGGGCGCGCAAGGGGAACAATACTAAGGAGGACAATACTAAAACCCCCGCCCCTGGATGCGTCGTCTCCAGCAGGACAACCGTTGTGAGTTGTGATTGATTTCAACCTACTTGATATTATACACAGACGTCTTTTTGGCCCCAGCTGCTTTCGTTTCTTTTTTTGTTCGGCACCGACGCAGGGCTGATGTTCCGGCCAGTCAAGAAGCACAATCGTAATGCAAACGCCATGGAGCTATTCCGAGATGTGATCAAAGACAATATTGGGCGGGTGCGGTCGAATTGGGAAGTTGGGGGCAGGTTGCTCTGCCCTCGCCGTTCGTGGCTTCCGTCTTGACGAGACAAAAGCCTCTCCCGTCCCTCAAAACTCTAGACAGCAGCCGGAGTTCCAAATTCCAGCGACAAAGACGATCGCCTTTCTTCTTCTCCTGTGTTGCCAGCATCTCCATCGTTGGTGTCAAGAGCTCCTGGTACGCTTTATTGAACTCGGGCAGTCGATACCATGGCTTCCGACTCGGCCGCTCTGCCCGCTATGGGAATCACAGATGACCCGCGTATGCAGAGCATCAACATCACGGGCCCTGATGGCGAGCCCTTCCCCGTGCCCATGGCCGAGATCAACACGGCAAACCTCTATCTGGTCCGCGTCTCGACCGTCTACGCGAGCCAGATCGGCGCCTGCTTCGTCATGCTGGCGGTCGTCCTGGCCATGACGCCCAAGCACCGGTTCGCCAGGGTCCCGACCCTGATCAACATGGTCAACCTCGCGCTGGCCGTCGTCCGCCTGACGCTGCTGGCCACTTACTTCAGCAGCAGCTGGGTCGAGATGTACACCTTCTACAGCGGCGACGTGCGCTTCGTGACGGCCGACGACTGGCGCATCAGCCTCGTCGCCACGGCCCTCTCGATCCCGCAGACGCTCCTGGTGCTCTCGGCCCTGATCGTGCAGGCCTGGTCCATGGTGCAGCTCTGGCCCGGCCTGTGGAAGTGGTCCGCCACCGCCGTCTCGGCTCTCGTCTCGCTCGCGAGCTTCGGCTTCAAGTGCGCGTCTGTGTCGGTCCAGATCAGGGTCATCATGGAGCCGTTCGACGTCACGCCCCTGCTGTGGATCCGCCTGACGGACGTGTCCCTGATGACGGCCACCATCGCCTGGTTCTGTTTCCTCTTCAACGTCCGCCTCGTCATGCACATGTGGACGAACCGCAGCATCCTCCCAACCACCAGGGGCCTCACATCGATGGACGTGCTCGTCATGGTCAACGGAGTTCTTATGTTTATTCCCGGTAAGTAATGACATGGCCCACCGTGACGAAGAGGGTAGAAGCAAGTGCTGACTATAGCATGAAACGCCACTACAGTCGTGTTCACTGCCTTCCAGTTCGTCGAAGTCGCGTTCCTCGAGTCGGGATCCCTGGTTCTCACGACCGTCGTGCTCGCGCTGCCGTTCGCGGCCCTAGTGGCGCAGCGGCTGTCGGTCAATCCGGCGTCGCAGCACCGAGGATCCAGAGACACGGACGAGAACACGCTTGGCAGCAAGAAGCGATTCCTCGATGACTTCTCCCACCACTCTACCACGGGCGGACCCAGAAGCCGTCAGCACAGCCAGCAGGGAGCCATGCTCAACACGCAGATCGCCGCCGGACCCCGCTCTCCTGGCGTCCCCATGAGGCAGCGCAGCGCCGACCCGATCGATCTGGAGCTGCAGAGGATCGACGACGAGGATGATAACGGCGACGGTCAGCTTCAGGAGAAGCACGCGGCCGGAGGGGTCAGGGTGAACCGGTCCATCGAGCGTCGGGAGGAGCGCATCTAGGAGTCGCGCGACGACTTCAAGTCTGTGGGCGAGGCTGTGGCTACTGCTGCTTGGCCGTGCCACCCCTCATTTGTGACGGTCATTCAGGGGGGAGGAGACCAGTGAACGACGGCACGAAGACCTGCGCGCGCCGACAGCCGTATTTGGCACAGGAGCCGTTCTTTTTCTCATTACTTTTCTCTTGTTCTCCATTTTCTTGGCGCCAGGAGCCAGATCTGATTGAAGGTCATTTCAAATCTTTTAACTCTTTTCTTTTCTGAAAAAGAGGTTTTTAGGCTCCCAGGATCTTACAAATCTTTTGCCCCTATCCTATCTCGCCAAATTTCCCTCCTCTCTTCTACTTTCCACCTCTATACCCCTTCAAGGTCCATATGAGGTCTCATCAAGCTACTAGCCATCCGGGTAGGAACTTGGAGTCTATCTCCAGTTAGGAGATTATTGGCCTTTGACCTATCGGCATAGTAGTTAGGCGCCTACCCACCTACCAAGAGGTAGATAGATAAGGACATACCTGACACCGCTCATACACTTGGACTGAGCAATTACCGCAATGATATGAGACGCAAATTCTTCATGCTCCTGTGATTCCAACAGTTTTTGTGGGTGCGCTTGGCTGTTCCTGCCGTGTACGCACGCACCTGCCTACCTAGGCCGTCCATTTTACACTCGGCAAGTCCGCCACAGCCCATCAATCGTACGCGCGCCTGCCATCCAGATGATGGAGTGCTTGCTCACTTTCACCGATGGCACCTCCCTGCTTCTGTCCACCTCCATTGGCAGCCCCATTCTTGCTGCCAAGCCTCAAGTCCGGCTTGGCATGATTCCATAACGGCTGCATCCCTGACATCATCGTCTTGCTCCTTTCCGAGCTGAGTGCCCGCATCGCTTCCGCAACCCAGCCAGCTCTTGGGGCCTCGCAGCTGTGCACTGCACCAGTGTGACAGCCCGGATCTGACCGTCCGTGTTGGTGATATTTGCCCTCTTCTGCTGCACCACCCAGCTTGAACAAGCAAAAGAAAAACAGCCCCTTTTATTCTGCATCGTCACTCATCATCCGCTCTCGTCTCCCACACACGGCCTTCACGAAACTACAGCTCTCCGAAGCTCCATGGAATCACTACTGATCGACTCGCGCATCCGGCGTCTCGGGCGTGCTCGGGCGAACCTGAGTGAGGGCGATAATGGCTGTGCTGAATTCCAGCTCCGGCCAGCGCCACTTCGTCTCGGCCGCAGAGCGCAGCCAAATGCCGTCTTCCACCATACACCAGAACTCGTGTCTCCCCGCCGTTCGCCAGCCCGCAGATCAGTGACGTCGGGTTTCTCCCTGCGGACCAGCAACGGCCCCCCGTCTCCTTCCCATTCCACACCTCCGAGCGACGAGGAGTCGGACTTGAGCGAGCAGGGCGATGACGAGCAGGCTAGCCTGGGCGTTGGGGCCATGGGGTCTCCGTATAGTGACCTGACCAAGTCACCCCCACCTACACGAGCTGAGAAGACGTCTCCTCTGTCACAAGAGAGTCTTTCAGAGTCTATGCCGGCGTCGACAATCATCAGGAGACCGATGCAGGAGCTAGCAAACATCGGCAATGTCAAAGAGCAGTCGGATTCATGCAAGGTGTTCAACTCATGGCGGTCCAGCACCCCGGCACTCGACCAAACCCCGACTGGACAGCGCTCTGGTAAGGCTTGTGAGACATCTATTTACTTGAAGCCTTCTATCCTCGACGCAATCGGGTTCGAGCGACGCTCGGGAGAATCTGGGGACCCTGGACGCCTTGATAGCTGGCTGCTCAAGACCACTGAGGGGTAGGGCCCCTCAGGACAAGTCCTGGCAGGTCACGGCATCGGCACCATGGAGAAAGAGGGGCGCCATGTGCCTACAGGGGATCTCAGTGTGAGGATGCTCGCTGAGGTGAAGCATGCTGCACATTACACCGTCGCTGAGCGCAGGAGACTCTTTGAGGGTCACCAAGTTCCGCATCCTGCAAATGTTGCACTTTCAGGAGTATCCGGGACGGCCGGTCGGTCGCAAGCCCCAGAAGGGGTCGGCGCTGCCGTGAGACAGACTTTCGTCACGACCAGAAGTGTCCCAGTTTCACCAGCGAGACAACACCGCCAAGGGCTGGTAGAGCCGCCGATATCCTCAAGTCATACCAACGGCCCTCTCGCGAAAATTACCTTGAGTGGCATTGCCAAGCTCCGTCATTCATTCGAAGAGCCCCTTGGACTTGCTGCCCAAGTTGCTAGAGCTGACAAAACCCCCCAGCGGCCACAATCTCGCTTTGTGTGCGATAAGAGCCCGTCAAAGCCAGCCATGGCCGAATCGAACGACTCCGGCTCATCTCAAGCACCTGCCAGCACACCATCGTCGAATGTGTTCAAGACTGTTACAGAGACTGCGCATGACCTAGCTATAGTTCGGGCTCATCACAACGTCCACTTCTCCCCAGTCAATACACCTGGGGACCGCCCTGGCCAGGTATCATCGAGGCCTACACCAGGGCAAGCTCCACGCGACCGGGATTGTGCACCAGTTTTGGCAGCGCACAAGCCCGAGGGAGGTCAGCCACAGTCGCTCTCCAGCGGTGCCGTGAGGAGGGGACAGCGAGGTCAACCACCACCAGTCACCCCCACGCGTCCGGTGAGGAGATCTTCGGTACTTCACTCCAGCCCTGTTCACTATCTTTTGAGGTCGGCAAGGGGCAATTCTGGGCTAGAGGCCTTGGGAACGACAGAGGAGGGTTTGGCACGGAGCGAACCCCGGAGATACCACGATATGGACAAATGCCAGGGGACTCGGTCCTGTCCCAGGAAGGTGGCAGACCTATGTCGTCTCTTTGATGTCCCGTCGACGGGCCATGCGCCTTTTTCCACACCGAGGCGACAGAAGACGGGAACCGGCATCCCGGGATCGTCCGAGGCACTACCCACATCGACCCTCAAGAACGCAAAACCGAAGCTAAGAACCGCCGACGAGATTGAAGTAAAGCTTGCTCCTTCACCAAGCAAGCTGAAGTCACAAGAAAAGACAAACGGCCGCCCATGCACTGTCACTACGGACGAAGGGGAATCTCCGCTCAAGCAGAAGATCCACTTGTTCGAGGATCTCGGCAGCTCAGATGCTGTCGACGAGATCACAGCAGCCCATCCGAGGCCCCGGGACTCAGGAACCGGCAGTCCCGTTAGGCAGGCCGAGATCGGAGTCACGGTGAGGAAATCCGGGACCCGGCGAGGCAAGAGAGCCGTGGGCATTTTACGGAAAATCTCTAAATCGCTGGATATCCATGGCTCCCGTGACACTCAGGAGGTGCCATTGAAGAACGGCAGTCAGGCCTGGCTAGTGGGCACGGCAGCTGTCCAGATGCCCCGCAAGAAGATTGTTAAGCGCAGGCTTAAGAAGCAACCACCAGTCCTAGCCGCTGAGGCAGCTGCGGATTCGAAGGCGTCGGCGGCCGCGCAGCAGAATTACGAACAGCAAGATTTCAGAAGCGCTGTTGCGGAACTCTCGTCCTACGAACGCCAAATGAAGCAGATGCCAGAGTTGGGCTCGAAGGGCTCGACAAGGGGTAGAGGTCTGTTCAAGAGGAAAAGTCTGCCCTTCCTGAAGGGCATTCCGGCTCTCCAGGACTCCAATGACACACACAACCCCAAAGATAGCAACAGCAGTAAGGGCTGTTCAGCCAAACTAGCCCCAGGGACAGCCGGCGTCACTTCCGGGCTTGTCACTAGAGGCTCAGCTCAGGGCAGGGCAGAAACCCTGAGGCGCAGGTTCTCGGCTTCCCTCAGCAAGGCGATGAATCCTTTCCGCTCCGTCCCCGAAGCGGCACCGCATCCGGGTGGCAAGAGGGGCGCCGGCTCAGGCCCGAGGGCGAACTCTCCAGCGGCCAGCGGTAGGACGGCCAGCAACGGTAGCGGTAGCAACACAGCCGCCGTGTCCGTGGTGCGATGCAATCTTCAGCATCCAAAGCCGATCCGGGGCAGCGAGGTGAGCCTCCTGATCGGGCTCTGCGAGGAGATGGGGAGCAAGAGACGGAGGTAGTGTGTGAGAACTTGCTGAACTGACAAGACGAACATTTCGCTCGACTGAGCAGACAGAACAGCTTCAGTGGTAGTAGTAATTGGATAGAATGGAGGCGAGCAACCGGGACGGCTGTATTCTCCTTTATCCCTTGCTTGTAGCGTCATATTCAAGGGAGTGAATCAGCAGATCACAGCTTATGTAGATAGACGATTCCTTTCACATCAATACCCCCAGCCGAGGCTCGGCATGGGCGAGATAACGATAGACACAGAGACGAATACGAGATTTTCGCAAGAGCCCAACTATGACAGAGCCCGGAATGAGGTCTAGGTGTTGGATATGACACAGCATGTGTAGTCCTGAAACTATCTACCTGAGTGGGTGGCTCATCCCGTCGACCCCCCACACCACACACCACATGTTACGACACTGGTAAATTTCTGGCTAGTGGCGGGCCATTCATTGTTGGATGAGACCCATGCCACGACCAATCTTGCGCACGAGAGCCTTCTTGAGATACCACTCACGGGCAAGGCTGCGGGTGGTCTTTGCAAAGACGGCGGGCGAGACGCGACCGCGCTCGACGGCACGTCCCAGAACGAAGATGGCGTCGGCGAGGGCGCGCTCCTCGGCAACGAGGTCATAGAGCTGATTGGCGACGACGGTTGGGGCGACAAGGAGCTCGTCAACGTCGGGCGGCTTGATGCGGTGCGACTGCGCGTCGGCGACGGCGGCGTCGGCGCGGTGGAGGGCGTCGCGCAGGATGCCCGCATTGGACGTCAGCAGCGACGACAGTTGCGACATCTGCGATGTCTCGGCTTGCACCTGCCCCAGGGCGGCCAGCATGGCAGTGCGCTGTGCCTGCAGGCCCTGCAGCGACGCCTCGTCCTGCGCACGGGCGCGCTGCCGCATCGCGTGGAGCGTCTGGGCCAGCTGGTGCATGAGCGCGTCCTTTTCTGGGTTTGGCGGAATCGGCGGCGCAGGCACGTTGGACGGCGACGGGATGGACAAGACCAGAGGCTCGTCCATGAGATCTGGCGGTGGTGGGGGCTTCTGCGCCTGTTGCTGTGGGGGTCCAGGAGGTGCTGTCATGGGCTGTGTAGGAGGAGGAGCGCCTGCAGCCGTGTGAGGATGGTGTTGCTGCTGAGGCGGCCAGGCTTGCTGGTAACCGCCATATTGCTGAGGGGGGTGCGGTGGCTGCTGCTGCCAGCCCAAATGTGACTGTCCAGGTGGTGGCGCGCCCTGCGCAGCATGCTGTGGTGGCAGAGAGGAAGCATGGCGGGGATCAGTTGGATGGAACGATTCTCGCACTTGCGCAGCCGCTGCCGGTGTCATCTGGCGCTGGAGTTGTTCCGGTGGAGACTGTGGATGCCGATATGGAGGGTGTGTCGGAGGCGGAGGGCCGGCTTGACTGGCACGACTGCTGGCGTAATCTGATTGCGGCGGGAGGGGCGGTGCCGAATCGTATCTCGACACCCTGTTGCCCGGAGGAGGTTGCATGGCTGCAGCCTCAGGGGTTCCTGCCTGACTCAAAGGGCGGTGGTCTTGGGCGCCGTAGGGCGGTACGGGAGGGGCGACGGACCGAGACTGCGGAGGGACAGGAGACGGCCGATGTATGGGAGGATCATCGCCTTTAGGCGGAGGGGGCGGAGGCCTCTGCTCGGCGGGAGCGGGAGTGTGGACGTGTGTCTGGGCCGCCGAAGCTGGCCGAGCCATGTCTGGCGGCAGAGGGGGGACAGGGGGCGGCGTCGCTGCTGGTCGCTGGGCTGGCGCGGGACCAGGCTGCTGCTGTTTTGCGATAACGGGAGGCTCCTTGGCGAAGACATCGCGGAGGATGGCCAAGAAATCGAGGATTGTCGACTTCTATGTGGTTCGAGACGGCTCTTGATCAGCATTCTAGAAAGCAAGTGCAAGCACAATATCCTGGGGGACGGAGCGCATACATCCCAGAACCCGGCCCAGCCAACCAGGTAAGGGTGGTAGACCTGGCCTTGGGGATCAACGTGCTGCCCCGGGCGGACGACCATGTTCTCAGTCGGGGTCACATAGACTAGGGGAGCCTCGCGGGGATAGGCGTGGGGGACCCATAGCGAGATGGGGAACCGGTATGTCGTGCCTCGGAAGACGACGGGGATGGTGCCCGAGAGGTGGAGGAGAAGGGCCGAGACGCCATTGGGGAAGGCTAGTTGCGCGCAGGCAAGGCGGAAGGGCGTTAGTGCTGCCGTGTGTGGGATCAGGAAGAGGCTCGAGGAACTCACTGTGGACGTCGGTCCGCGGGGATAGCGAGGGGTACATTGAGAGCGCCTGGGCGACGTCATTGTAGGTTCTGTTCACATCGTGATACTCCTGGAAAGCAAGGACATGGAATCAGCTACAGTTCTGGCCCCAGCCCCAGCCCCAGAACCAGACCCAACTCTAGCTTCGGTCCATAGCTCTCCCGGATCGTCCATTCACTTCACTGGCCAGGGTCGGAGGGTAGAGACTGTACGCTTGTGAGGACGCTATACAGCCAGTTGAGGATGTGCTGCTGGACGACCATGGTCGGCGACTACCTTGCGAGGCAGAGACTAGCCGGAGGAGCGTCGGGTTATCATTCGAGCATGATTGGGGCGAGTGCGGGCGGGCGGGCGTCGTTGTCGTCGTCGGGCCTTGCTTGCCGTCACGGCCAAGCTTGTCGTGCTTGGCGGGATGGCGAGGCTGGACAGAGGTGGTGCCACACACGCGGTGTTATCGACAGAAGGAGTGTGGCGCGTGCATGTCGATTTCGAAGTGAGGCCGTGCGTCGAGGCTCGTGCGCAACAAGCACCACGCGCCCCCACTACAAGTCCCAACCAGGATTAGTCCTTGGGACAGCCCTTTCAGGAATATGATCAAAACTAAGAAGAGACGTAAAATAAAAATAGGAAAAGGAACAGAATGGAAATAGCGGTAGGAATGAGAGCAGGTATTATACATTCCATAATTTAAAGCCAATTTTTATGCGATGAGATGTCTTTGGTACAGGACCAACAAGCTGCAGGACGGTTTTAGGGACACAAAATCGCGTCTCATCCACCATCGGTTCTTCCCCAGCCCCGCCCCTGGAAGCTTGCAGGACGTGCCGCCAGCTCACATCGGCGGTAACTAGCTCAAATCCGGGAAGAGCCGCCGGGTCTTTGTCGCTCGTTTTCGAGCAAGGAACGGTTGGGGGCCCGTCGCGCGTCTGGACGCGACCGAATCGCCGGAGACGTTGAATCTCTGTCTGGCCTTGATCTTGGCTGGGTTCCGCGCCTTGCGTCTCTATCACGTGAACCAAACAACCGCCTGTGCCCGAACCGCCAACCGAGGCGCACACTTTCGGAAGAACCTTTGAGAGAAAAAAAAAACATGTCATGACAGATTCAGAACCAGCCCTGCTGCTTGTTCCATGGTAATAATCACCGGTATCGGAGCCCCTGTTTTTGTTTCTCGACTGCTTGCTTGTCTCGCCCAGTCTTTCGCTCTTCTGTTCGAGGTACAACCCAGGCCTTTGCCAGCACGGTACAACATGTGCCAATTATAATCTCCGTCGAACACGGGCGTGGTCCTCTTCGTTTCAACTGCTCGGCACTCCCGCTCTTGTTTCTCCCCCACTGCCCAGCCGTGGATGGCTGGGCTTGGAACTGCTTTCAAGACTGGCCTGAGTCGTCCCACCCACACCTTGCGGGACAAAAGTCGCTCTCTCTCACTCTCTTTGTTACTCCCATGTTTCCTAGTCCCGTTTTGCTAGCCCTCAACGGCAAGGAAATGTGGAACTGAAGCATGGGTCGGTCAGAAGTCGGCGTTTTCTGCCCTTTTCGCACACCCCTCTTCTCTTGTGGTGGTTTGCTCAGGCTTTTTCTCGCCTCCTATTGCAGCGAGCGCCCGCAGTATAAGGTCCCTCCTTGTCCCGCTCGTTCCGCCTCGCCAGGCCTTCCCTTCTTTCTCTTGCCACCAAAGTCTTCCCCGTCACGCCTTAAAAACAAGACTAACAACCAACCCAACTCTGATGATCACGCCCCAAACGAGCACTCGCACGGCTGAGGAGTATACAGGCTGCTGTTTACTCCTTGCGTCAGGACTTGATCGCCCATCAATATTCTAAAATCCTTTCACATCGCATCGCATCACATCACGCCATACCGTATCCCGCTGCTCCGTCACTTGCCACATACATACACATCTTTCTCCACTCTGAGGACAACAACAACCCGACAAGCGTTGAATCTATCCTTGTACGGATTCTTTGCGAATCCTCGGCCAGCTGAGTCGGTCTCGAAAGCAACAGAATTCTCATCAGCCTCGAAGCAATACCTGGGGAGCAACTTCGCTCTCAGCCAACAGCCAGGCGGGCCAACAGACTCATCGCGCCTAGGCCCGGAAACACCAGAGAACCCTGCGTGGTAATAATCGTGCTCGTGAAAAAGTACAAATGCCATCACGGGTGTCGCTTCCGACCAAGAAGCCCGTGGTACTTGAAAAACAGAAACCAACGCCGCCTCTTGATCCGATGCTTCCTCCGGTTCCAGTTCTCTCCGATTATGGAGTCTCTCCAACCAATGGGTTCCTGCCGGATGTCTTGCCCCTGTCGAGGCTCCCAGACCCCTACTACAACAAATGGGAGGCCATCGCCACCAACCTCCAGGCCTTAATTCTTAGCAAGCGTCTGAGGGCCGTTGTCGACCGCCTCCCCGTCCTTTCCACTGTTGGCTTGGAACACGAGTCGGAATGGCGGAGGGCCTACTCGATTCTGTGCTTCATGGCACATGGCTACATCTGGGGTGGTGACAGCCCCGCGGACCGCCTGCCGGTCCCGCTAGCCGTGCCGCTGCTGCAGATCGCCGAGCACCTTGAGCTGCCGCCCGTTGCCACCTACGCCGCCGTCTGCCTGTGGAACTTCAAGCCGCTCTTCGTCGACGAGCCCATCGATAGCCTAGACAACCTCGCCACGCTCACCACCTTCACTGGCTCCCTGGACGAGTCGTGGTTCTACCTGGTGTCGGTCGCCATCGAGGCCCGCGGCGCCCCGGCCATCCCCATCATGCTCGAGGCTATAGCTGCCGCGCGCCGCCGCGATGTGGGCGCCGTCACCCGCTGCCTGCGCGCCTTTGCTGAGTGCCTTGATGAAGTTGGGACGCTCTTGGCGCGCATGCATGACAGCTGCGACCCCACCATCTTCTACCATCGCATCCGCCCGTTCCTAGCCGGCAGCAAGAATATGGCCGACGCCGGCCTGCCCCGCGGCGTCATCTACGAGGACGGGTCCGGCGCCGAAGAGTACCGCCAGTACAGCGGTGGCAGCAACGCCCAGAGCAGCATCATCCAGTTCTTCGACATCGTCCTGGGCGTCAGCCACCGGCCCACGGGCGACAAGGCGTCGCCGCCGTCGCCGTCGCCCGACGACCCCGCCCAGCAGCCCCGAGGCCGCCAGCCCGCCGCCCCAGCAGCCGCGGCCCGGCAGCACAACTTCATCCAGGAGATGCGCCGCTACATGCCCGGCCCGCACGCGCGCTTCCTGGCCGACGTGGGCGCCGTGGCCAACATCCGCGAGTTCGTCGAGCTCCGCGCCGCCGCCGGGGACCGCGCCCTGGGCCTCGCCTACGACGCCTGCCTCTCCATGCTCAGCGCCATGCGCGACCGCCACATCGCCATCGTGACGCGCTACATCGTCGTGCCCTCGCGCGAGGTCCGCGCCCGCAGCCGCTCCCGCTCCCCCGAGGCCGCCCGCCGCGTCGTCGTCAACCTCGCGACCGCGTCGAGGGCCGCCGCCGGTCCCGCCGCGGCGGCCACGGCGACGACAGGGGCTACGGCGGGGCCCGGCAAGGGTGGTGCCCTCAAGGGCACGGGCGGCACGGCGCTAATCGCCTTCCTGAAGCAGGCGCGCGACGAGACGGGCGAGCCGGCCGTCGAGCAGTGGACCCGCCGCTTCATGAAGCGCGCCGCCCGTTCCGACGGGAAGGGTGCGGGCGACTTCTTCCTCGGCAAGCAGGACGACGACTTTTGTGTCGGCGCCGAGACGGAGCAGGTCCAGGTCAAGGGCCTCGCCGGACTTTGGACCATGGAGGACGAGGTCGGTGGCATTTGCAACTATTGATGCGTTTGTTGGATTCTCGTTCTGAGGATACCCGGTGTGTTTTCCCACACGTCCTGGGACATGGAACCATGATCCCGAATTGGGGCGCTATGAATACAAGCTAGAGGCAACCGGAACTTCGATGAATAAGAAGAAGGGCTACCAGGTATCACCTACAAATCTCTTACACATATTCCCCAAGGGGCAAGTACCCAACCATCTCATCCCCCTCGGCCATTGTTATCCATCAGACATGTGCGGGATTCGCGCTCCCCTCTGCCTCTCGCATGTAGTAAAGCCCTTTGGTAATGGATAAAAAGACTTTGCAAGCTGCGAATAAAACGGCGAGGGCAAAACCGCACATACACGTGTTGTATTTGGGCGATAGAGTGTAGAGAGGAAGAACAAGAAAACACAATAGAAAGGCGAGTCGGATATGGGTTGAGCATCTCGGCGGCAGATGATCATGAGGCCCCGTGTTGCGTGTCGGCACAGTCAAGACTCAACTGGACTCGGCGCCGCCACCTAGCTGCCAGTAGGCTTGACCACATCCCGCGTGGTAAACTCCTGTGTGAAGATGCGCTGCCACATTTCCAGCCACTTTTCGTGTTGCGGAGTCGGCAGCTTGCCTGGGTTCTTGAACGAACGCGTCAACAGCTCCCGTAGCCGCGCCCGAAGGGCCTTGATCGCCAACATCGTCTTCCAGTCAGGCGCCGTAAAGCGTGCCCGGTTGCCGTCCATGACGAAGACACCCGAGTACATCTTTAGGGGACAACAAATGTTAGTACTGGAGGGTATAAGCTCAGGGGCGGAGGGAAGCTGGTGCCTTACGTCACATCGAACGTCGCCGCAGAGAAGCGCGATAGGGAAAGCCTCAACGGCTGTGGTCTCGTGCGCGTTCAGGAACCTAAAAGTCGACATAAACCCAATTTTTAGCAACCAGTTGGCTTTTTTTTCATTTGTGCTTTAACCCGTTTCCGCTCAGTCGTCAAGTTGACCTCCTTCAAGACTTACGATTTCGTCGACTGCATCATGTTGTAATACGACAGCCACCTGATCTCGTTGTGGCCTTTATTGACGCTTGACCGGTGGAGGCTGATATTTTGATTGTTCCCGACGTTGCGGAGGCCCTTGCCACCGGCCACGTCTCGCACAAGCAACTTGGGATAGAAACTCCAGGCGATGACGGATTGCCAGATGGTGTCGTTGTCGCTGTTCACGTTCACGCGCTGTGGCATCTCGAAGAAGACTTGCTTGCGGCGCCGGTTACCGCCAGACGCGTACCGAAGCTGCTTCAAGTTCTTCCTCTCCTCCTCCGTCAACAATAGGAAGCGCGAGTCCACAAGCGAAACCAACAGCTGGCCTTTGAGGTCCTCGATGTTGGCCAGTGTCTGAGGGCTAAGGAAGTTCTTCCGACAGTACTGGAACTCCTGGCCTCCATTATTCGTCGCCGCCAAGCAGACTCGCTTCCATGAGAGGTAAGCGTTGTAAACCGTCAGTAGATCTGAATCGCCGCACCGAAATGACTGGCGCGCGTTGTCAGCTTGCGCTCGCTGGCCAAAAGGCGCAACAAAAGGAGACTTGGCCGATAGAATGGCCGCAACAGTGATGGCCATGTCGAGGCATTTGAAGATGGTGCCGAGCAGAATCAGCTTCCCTAGGAACACATCCAGGGGTAATCGCGCAAGCTGGTTTCCTAGTGGTGTCAACTCCTCGCTCTGTGTCAAGGCGCGAACATCCACGAGCGCATCTACTGCGCGCCGGATGTTCTTCGCCGACGGAGGGTCGAGTGCTTCGCTCAGAGTCTCTTCGATGCCTCCGATCTTGCAGATCTTTACGCGGATGGCCAGGTCCTGCAACGAGAGGCGGAGCATCTCGGGCGTCTGCTGGTCTGCCATTATGGAGTCATGCCGGTACTTGGTGAACATGTGGAAGCACAGTCCCTCCTGCACACGACCGGCACGTCCGCGACGCTGCTTCGCGTTGGCGCGCGAGATGAAGGTGTCGATCAGGCGCGACATTTGCCGGCGCTCGTCGAAGCGCATCTCGCGGTGCTTTCCCGTGTCAATGACGCAGGTCACATCTGGAATCGTAATGCCCGTCTCGGCGATGTTGGTCGCGAGTACAATCTTGCGGAGCCCGGGCGGCGGGACGAGGAACGCAGCCTCTTGCTCCTCAGTTGCGATGCTAGAATGCAGCGGATAGACGAGCCAGTTGTCTGAAAAGAAGCGGTCGCCGAGCAGCAAGTCGTTCAGCTGCCGGATCTCGGCGAGACCGGGAAGGAAGACGAGGATTGCTTTGCTAAACTGCTCGTAGTTGGGATCCGTTGCGATGCGCGAGATGAGCTGGACAATGAGATCAAACTCGATCTGATACTCATCCATTTGTGACAGCGTATTGCGAGTGCCTTTCATGTAATGCTTGAGCGTCTTGAGCAGCTCGGGCTTGGTCGAGTTTTCGGGCTCGACATCAGGCGCGTCATCGTCTAGATCCGTCATGCGCACCTTATTCTGCTGGTCGACAGTATAGCCTGTCAACTCAACGGCGTCCTCCAGGTAGCTGACCCGGACTGGGAACGTGCGTCCGGGGACATTCAGCACCGGCGCCCCGCCAAGGTATTGGGAGAACCGTTCGGCATCGACCGTGGCCGACATGAGTACGACCTTGAGATCCTTTCGTCGCACCAGCAGCTTCTTGAGCACGATCAGGAGGAAGTCGCTGTCTATAGAGCGCTCGTGCACCTCGTCCAGCACAAGGTGGGTGATGTCTCGGAGGTCGTTGGAGCTCTCAAGCATGCGCATGATGATTCCCGTCGTCGAATACACGAGCCGCGTCTCCCGCGATGTGTTTGCCTCGAGGCGGATCGAGTAGCCTACGAGCGAGCGCGGGGTGCCCAGATCGTTCCGGCCCTCGCCGAGCTCCTCGCTGACACGGCGCGCCAGCGACACGGCAGAGATACGTCGGGGTTGCGCGCAGTAGACCTTGCAGGGCTTCCCCTGAGAAAGCTGGTGCTCGAGCAGAAACGAGGGCACTTGTGTGCTCTTGCCACAGCCCGTCTCGCCGCAGACGATAATGACCTGTTGCTGATCCACAGCCGACAGGACCTGGTCACGGAATCCCCACATGGGAAGCTGCATTCGCGACCGCATCATCGTCTGAAACCTGGGGGTGCTGCTCTTGTCGCACCAGATCTTTTGGTAGTATTCGGGCCCGGCCGCCACTACTTTGCCACGGTCTTGGTCCGAGTTCTCGGCCGAGTCTGCCACCGCCGTCCTCGCCCCTCGGCCACGGAACGCCCCCTGGAGAATGACTCCATCCTCCAGCTCTCGGTCCTGTCGCTTCCGTACCAGGTGCCGCAGCCCCTTCACGATGGTCCGGTCGATCGCATCAGCCTTGCTCTTCTTCATTTCAGCAAGTTCGGCCCACAGATCGCGCCATACGGCGGGCAATCTCATCGACGCCTTCTCCTCCTTGGAAGTTGACCCAGACACCAGAAACAGGGCCACAGTAGCGATGAAAGCTTCTGACTGCTGTTTCTCCGGCGTTGCAACCGACTTCATCTTGGCCACAAACTGAGTTGGGTACATTTCGACCTCCACGTCGGGGATGTCGGTAGTCGAAAGGGCTTCTTGCGGTTTAGTCCAGACGACATGGACAAGGTGGCGGTGCGCGAACGACGCCTCGGAGACAGACCTATAAGATATCTTGGCCCCTGAGTCCTTGCTGCGACAAGCCTCCTCCAAGGCCCTCATTGGACTCAGGCCAGTCCATTTACCAAAGTCCCGGACTTTTAGCTTTATCCCGTCGGCGCCATTGATGAAGGTGGCCGACTCCCCAGTCGAGGGGTCAACCTCGGTCACCGGCAGACTGGCAAAGAGATCGGCAAGAGCCCCATCCTCGTCCTCACTAGCCTGCGCAAGGATTTCCGCTGCCATTTTCTCTGCTTCACGAGCAACCTCGTCCTCAGCAGACTGATTTTTGTCCACCTGACGCTGCTCCTCGGCCGCGGCCGCAGCCTCTTCATCTTGCCGCTTTTTGTTCGCGGCGTATTCCCTCTCGAGAGCGATCTTGTCCTCCCGCCATTGCATATCGGCGGTCGCTTTCTCGAAAAGAATGTCACCCTCGATCTTTGCTAATTTGGCCTTGAGTCTCGCCACCTCCATTTCGTCTTTGGCTCCTTGGTTTGAGCCGGCTTCGAGGGATTTGGACTTTCCCTTTGGTGCGTCCAGCAGCGGCCGCTGAAGAACAAATAGCTTGGCCCGAGTATCCAAGTACTGCGGCCCAAGCTCGTCGGGTTCAATGTCACTGTCGTAGGTCACAGTAATCTTCCTAGGTGATGATTCCCGGGGAGACTTGTCTGTGGATGTGCGGCCCTTCCGCCGCTTCTGCTTGTCCTCTACCTCCAGCAGACGTGGGGTTGACGCTCCAGATGGCAAAGGTGTGTCAAAGGGTGTTTCTGTAATTCCCTGGCTGTTAGAACGTGGGTACTAGGATCAATGGGCAGGCATCTAGCTACCTCGGTACTCAGGCGGGACAGATGTCTTAGTGGTCAGGTGTTGGGAGGTCGGGGAGTCCGATAACGAGGCGCCGCTTGGTGCGTCTGGACATTGAGGAACGAGAGCAACTTGCCTGTGGCCGACTTGCCCCCGGTCCGCGTCGGTTTCTCGTAGCCTGGCAGCTCTTCACTGCCGCATTCACGCGCAAACCAAGCCATTGCCTCGTCCAGGCCCCATATTGAGTCCCCCTTGACAGACGCGATGCTTGAGGCGATGTCCAGAATGTGTTCGTAAAGCGGAGGTATCTTTTCCTCAGGGAAGCCAGCACCGCTCAGCGTCTCTTTGAGGGTCCATAACCTCACAATCAGGTCCTCCTCGGACGGCAGCTTGCCGGTCGATGAGAACTCCGAACCAAGGCCCGAGTTTCCGAAGCGACTCTCGGCCTTGATTAAATCTAGTAGCTGCTGCATGATCTCGGGTGGCAGCCATTTTCGTGTGTTGAGCGACTCCGCCTGGCCGCGGAGAAGGCGGCGATCGGTCTCCAGCCTGCTGCGCTGACGCAGGGCGTCGCGGCGGACCTTTATGGCGTGCTTGTCGACAAGAAGCTGAAGCTCTGATTCCTCGAGTTGTCTCTCAAACTCTTCCGGGCTCAGCTCCTGCCCCTGTCCTGCCACATTCGGTGCTAGGGAGCCCGAGCCCGAGCTGGCGGCCTGTGGGGTAGCTCCCGTCGTGGTGGGAGGGGCGCCCTCAGGCTTGGAATTGCCAGGAGCCTCATCAATCTCAGCGGGGTCTACAACCCTTGGCTTCGAAGCAATCGATGTTGTCGCGAACCCCCGATTGTTGGCCGCCGGCTTCTTCTTTTTCTTGCCACCAGCCATTCGAGGCTTATTGCCGGCAGTCGGCAGCCAAAAGCCGATCAACAATTAGCTGATGCTACGATGGAAAGATACGATGGTGTATCTGGGCCGGCAGCAATATGCAAGCGACGTGCGAATGGGCACTCGCCCGAGTGTGGTGATTGTTTCTCGATTTGGTGCGATGTGATCTGGCGGCTCTGTTGTGTTGTGTTGTGCTGTGTTTTATCTCTATTTCGGCGAGTGGCGGTTTTTCTTTGGGATGGATTGACGGGTCCGATGCAAATGGAAACTGGGGAAAAGCGAGCCGAATTTCTGATGGCCAACGGCTGCGAGTGACGTCTGGTGTCTCGAGGCCCAATGGGGCGGCTAGCCATGGTGCCTGCCGTCAGTGGTCCCTGCCGAGTTGGCGGCAACAAGCGGCGGGGCACGAGCTCTAGCAAAATTGCACACCGCCTGCCTATCACGTCTCAATTATACCCCACTACAAACCCACTGCTAGCGTATTGTGCTGCCTGACAGCGGGGAACAAATTCCAGCCCTGCACTGCACTGTGGTGTCGCGAGCGAAAATCACAGCTTTGGCTGTTGGTGGCAGTAAAGCAGACAGACAGAAGACCTGATATATCGAGGCAATTGACGACGGCAAGCACCTGCACAGCCACTGCAACGACTTCGATCTCCCAAAATCCCTGGTGCAATCCTCACGTAACCGTATCGCCTTCGCGCCTCTCCGGCCCAGGTGCCTTGTCGCAGCGGCTCTCGCCATGCCCGCGGACCGTTTGCTGGAGCAATCATGTCCGAAGACGCAGTAAATGGCGAGGCTGCGGGTCAAATCGACCTCTCCGCTACAAAGCAGGCTCTGCTCTCCTCTTCAACCGCTGCGCGCACCGCTCAGCTCCGCCTCGTCGAGGATAAGCTTTCACAGAATGGTAACCTTGCCCAACAGGTCTCGCGTTCGTAGCGTGTCCTAGCGCCAGTGTGTCTGACCATCTTGTACGAGCAGCCCTCGACCAGACAAGCCTGTCCAAGCTGCTCCCGCTGTTCTTCCTCACCCATGCCTATTACCACGACCGTCCGTCCCGTCGAGCTGTCCAGCGCTGTCTGGTGATCTTCTCCCAGAAGGGCGACGAGAAGCTCCTCACGGCGCTCATCGGAGCAATCAAGCGAGAGGCGCAAAAGCCTACCATAGCCCCCAGCAGCGCCTTTGTCCTGCTCGAGTGGTGCAGCTTGCTCATTGAGAACCTGGCAGGGACGGCTCTTTGGGAGAAGCTTGGGAAGGAACTGATCCTCGCCTCTGCCGATTGTCTGGAACGTTGTCTCCAGTCTCCCTTCAACAAACATGTCGGTCACTCTGCCTTGGTCGTCACCCGGCGCGCCTTTAGGAAGATTGTGTCCTTCGAGTCGACGCGTGAGCAGGCCATCACCGAAGCCGTGCAGCTACTGGCTACCAAGGGGGCCCAGCCCACTGCCAAGTACTCTGTCATCCTTGGAGTAATTGCGGGTGTTTGCTCTCGCAAAGACTATGCGAAGCCTATCCTTGAGAAGCTCAAGTCCCAATATTTTGGCTTTTTCACTCGAGAGATAATTGGCTCGAAGACGCCGGTGCCGAATCACTTGGCTGGGGGTCTCTACGACTTCTTCCATTCGTTTCTCACGCTCGAGGAGCTCGGAAAAGAGATTATCCCTTCGTTGGAGAAGGGACTTCTGCGAGCGCCCGAGATCGTCCTCAACGACCTTGTCACGCCCCTTATCGATGCCCTTCCGGCTGAGTACGACCTGTCAGGTATTCTGAACAACAACCTTTTGAAGCCTCTCCTCTCAAACACAAAGTCCACCAATCCGACAATTCGCAGTGGTGCCCTTATGGCCTTCAAGACAATCATTCCGCGCGCCTCCGACCTAGACGCCCTGGGTAAGGCCACTGATGAGATTGCTACGCCACTGAAAGGGGGCAAAGTCGCGTCTGCCGACCAGAGGGCCATACACTCTGAGATGCTCCTGCACCTCGCCAAAACCGAGGCAAATGCGACCAAGATCTGTCTCGCTCTCCCGGTAGTTGCTGGAAAGGAGGGCAATGACCCTGCGCTCGCAGCGGAAACCTCCGCACTCACCGAGGCTGTCAAGACCCTGCTCAAGTCTGGAGCTGAGGTTCCCGCGGCAGCCACTGATACGTTCAAGAAGGGCCTTGCGGACAAAAAGCCCACCTCGAGGAAACTCTGGGTCCTGGCCGCGGGAGAACTGCTGCTGGATGTATCCCAAACCACGTCACTATCGGCATCAGCTCTCAAGGTCACGGAGGGGACTATGCCCGTGTTGTTTGAGACGTACAACGATGCTGTTGCGAACCCACTCACGTCATCGCAAAGCAGTCTCATCACTGGTGCATACATCACATGTAGCATTGCTCCGCGGATCTTTGGCGGCAACATTAGCGGGCCTTTGGAGGCGCTGTCAAAGAAGTTCTCCATCGCTAAGCAGTGTCTTGTCAGTGAGCCCAAGCCCTCGTTCCTGCTGTCTCCGCGGTTCTATAGTAAGCTGGCATCCGGCGACGACCTGAGGTGGCTCTCCCGTGCCTTGGTGGCGGTGGCGGATGAGCTGCCGCAGGATGGGGGTAATAGCATAACCTTGGCTTGGTCTCAGGCCTTGGTTTATCTCGTGTCATCCGCTACCACGCCATCGCAAGTCCGAAAAGAGGTTTGCCAGCAGATATCCGATCTCTATGTGCGCAACCCTGAAAAGATATCACATGCCCTCATCAGTGGCATATGGTACTGGCTGGATGCTGGAGAGGAGGGAGACAAGGACAGCGCGGCGGCGCTTGCAAAGGCCGATAACACTCAGTTGAACCTGGTTCTCAGGGCGATATGCCTGCCCACACGAGAGTCGCCCGAAGGTGTCGCCGAGGTCACTGAGCGTCCTACCTTGGAGGCCCAGATGTGTTCACTGCTCGTTCTGGCTCGCCCTGAGCTCGTCCCTCGGTCCAGCTGGATTGATCTCTGCTTGCGCGTTGGTCTTGACCCCGGCGAGCTGGCAAAGAGGAACGAGAAGGTGCTGCTGCAAGAAGTCGCAATAAGAAGCACACTTGACCAGAAGGTAACTACGCTCACTGGACGATAATCTCTTTCCCTCTTGTCGATATACAAGTTACTGATCTCACCATGTTACAGTCGGCCGCCGTTAGGAATGCTGCGTACAAGGCTGCTGTCGAACTGGTCTTCGTCGCACCTGATGTGATGACACCTCGGATCATACAGTTGATAGAGCAGGACTTGGACGTCTCAGGCCTCGAGGGTATTGGCCCCCTAGAAGCCGCAATATTCCGCACACCCGAGGGCACCGCCTTTGTCGATGTGCTGGCCAAGAAGTCAAGCAATGTCCCAATCAAGGGTAAAGATGCCGACACATTAAAGTGGGAGGCGGAGCTTAGGTCACAGCTAGCACAGAAGAAAGGCCAACAGCAAAAGCTCAGCGCCGACGACAAGGCCAAGGTCGATGCCCAGCTGAAGAAGGAATCCGCTATTAGGGAGCGAGTCCGAGGTGTCGCCGCCAAGGTGATGCGCGGCATAGGTGTCATCCGAAGCCTCGCCACTGGGCCCCCCACAGACGCAGGCCTGTGGATGAGCCCCGCTGTCAAGGCTCTTCTCGGTGCCATCGACGCTGGCGCATGCCTCATCACAGGAGACGCTGCTCCTGTGGCTTACCTCGCCTGCGCTGATCGGGTATCCATCCGTCTGGGCTCTTTCCGCGAGTTTATTGGCGTTGCCACGTTGAGGGCCCATGATGTGGAACTCATTCCTGAGAATCTCAAGCAGGAACCACTCCACGAGCTGATTACCAGGGTCCTGTACCGTCTTCGATTCGCCGGAGAGCAGCGCCCTTTCGACAGTGTCTCTGCTATCTACATGCTTCCTCTTGTTCTCCTCATTCTTCAAAAGGGAGGCTTTGGCGCCACTGCTGAAGACAAGGACACTCAAATCGTTTTGGCGACAGAATTTCTCGGCTTCCACACCGACACAAGCGCTGATGAGGCCCTTCCCAGGGCCGAGATGCTCGAAGCCCTCATCAGCTCAATGCAGCAGTACAACCAGCACTACAAGATCATCAGAGACTGCTTCTCTGACATGGTTCGCTGCTTGGCGCCAAATATCAACGAAAACGAAATCGGTGTGGTGGCCCGAGGAGCCATTGTGTCCCAAACCAGCGTCCGCACAACAGTGCTGCAGTCGATCAGCGCCGATGTCGACATGAGCGAGCTGGAGTTCTCGGAGGAGATATGGCTTGCCTGCCATGAAGACAACGTGGAGAACGTGGATCTTGGCCGAGAGATCTGGGAGGAGAGTGGCTTCGAGACTTCGGCGGAGGTCCCAACAAAAATGCTCCCGTACTTGGAAAACAAGGATGGGCAGCTTCGTAGAGCCGCCTCACGAGCTCTGGCTGAGGCTTGCAAACGCCATCCAAAGACGGTGAATCCTATTCTGGAGAAGCTGCGACTGACGTACGTCGAGTTTGCCAAGCCTCGCGTGCCTGAATTAGACGGATTCGGCATGCCGAAGAAAATGGACCTCTCAGACCCGTGGGAGGCAAGGCACGGTATTGCCACCGCGTTCAAGGAGTTATCTCCATACCTCGAGAGACAGCATCTGGATGCTTTCTTCGCCCTTCTCATAGAGCAAGGCCCCTTAGGCGACCAAGACAGCTCTGTTCGTGCCGAGATGCTCGAGGCTGCCAACAAGGCCATCGAAGTCCACGGAAAGAGCATCGTGGACAAACTGATGAAGGTCTTCGAGAAAACCTTGGAGGCTCCGGATAAGGGCTCTGCTGCTAGCGATCGTGTCAACGAGGCCGTCATCATCATGTACGGTGCTCTGGCACGGCACCTCAAGGCCGGCGATGCCAAGATACCCGTGGTGATCGAGAGGCTTCTGGCCACTCTGAGCACTCCATCCGAGGCTGTCCAGTACGCCATCGCGGAATGCTTACCCCCACTCGTACGATCGTGCGGGAACAAGGCCTCCAAGTATTTCGAGGAGATAATGGAAACCCTGCTCACCTCCAAGAAATACGCCGTCCAACGAGGCGCAGCCTATGGTCTAGCGGGACTGGTTCTTGGCCGGGGCATCATTGCCCTCCGAGAATATCGAATCATGTCAACCCTGAATGGGGCGCTCGAGAACAAAAAGGAGGCATCACAGCGAGAGTCTGCCCTGCTTGCTTATGAGCTCCTAGCCACCATGCTCGGACGCCTGTTCGAGCCGTACGTGGTTCAAATAGTCCCACAGCTGTTGACTGGGTTTGGTGACTCCAATGCCAACGTGCGCGACGCCGCGCTCGCATCAGCCAAAGCTTGCTTTGCCCGACTGAGCTCGTACGGCGTCAAGAACATCCTGCCGACCCTTCTCAACGGTCTCGACGACGACCAGTGGCGAAGCAAGAAGGGAGCGTGCGACCTCCTCGGTGCGATGGCATACCTCGATCCGCAGCAGCTTGCATTGAGCCTCCCCGAGATTATCCCCCCTCTCACGGCTGTTCTCAACGACAGCCACAAGGAAGTGAGGTCTGCCGCCAACAAGAGTCTGAAGCGATTCGGTGAGGTCATCAACAACCCGGAAGTCAAGGGCCTTGTCGACATTCTTCTCAAGGCGCTCAGCGACCCGACAAAGTACACAGACGAAGCACTCGACTCGCTTATAAAGGTCCAGTTCGTCCACTACCTAGACGCCCCATCTCTCGCCCTGGTCAGCCGAATTCTCCAACGCGGTCTTGGCGACCGGTCCAACACGAAACGCAAGGCATCCCAGGTCATTGGCAGCCTGGCGCACCTTACGGAGAGGAAGGACTTGGTCTCGCACCTCCCCGTCCTTGTTGCAGGGCTCAAGGTGGCAGTGGTCGACCCTGTTCCCACAACCCGTGCCACCGCGTCGAGGGCGCTGGGATCTCTGGTGGAGAAACTGGGAGAGGAGGCCCTTCCGGATCTCATTCCCGGGCTTATCCAGACGCTCAAGTCGGACACAGGTGCCGGAGACCGGCTTGGGTCCGCCCAGGCTCTCAGCGAGGTCCTTGCCGGTCTTGGGACCACCCGCCTCGAGGAGACTCTACCCACCATTCTGCAGAATGTCGAATCCTCAAAACCTGCCGTACGGGAGGGCTTCATGTCCCTTTTCATCTTCTTGCCAGTGTGCTTTGGTAATAGCTTTGCCAACTACCTCGGCAGGATCATCCCACCGATTCTCTCGGGCCTTGCGGACGACATTGAGGCCATCCGAGAGACGGCTCTCAAGGCTGGTAGGCTGCTTGTCAAGAACTTTGCTGTCCGAGCAGTCGACCTTTTGCTACCAGAGCTCGAGCGCGGCCTAGCTGACGACAGCTACCGTATCCGCCTGAGCTCGGTCGAACTTGTTGGCGATCTCCTGTTCAATCTGACAGGCGTATCAGCCAACCAGGAGCCTGGCGATGAGGATGAGGAGGAGAGGGTAAAGGAGGCTGGCGCTTCGCTCCGCGAAGCTCTCGGCGACGAGAAGCGCAATAAGATCCTCTCAGCTCTGTACATCTGCAGGTGCGACACCGCTGGCGCTGTCCGCACGGCCGCCATTGCCGTCTGGAAGGCCCTGGTGTCAAGCCCGCGGACGCTCAAGGAGCTGGTCCCCACGCTCACGCAGCTTATCATCCGCCGACTTGGTAGCTTTAATATGGAGCACAAAGTTATCGCCAGCAACGCTCTGGGCGAGCTTATTCGCAAGGCGGGAGACAATGTGCTCGCCACCCTCCTTCCAACTTTGGAGGAAGGCCTCCAGACCTCGACCGACGTGGATGCCAGGCAGGGGATCTGCCTGGCTCTCAAGGAGCTCATCTCGTCGGCATCTGAGGAGGCTTTGGAGGACCACGAGAAAACGCTCATCTCAGTGGTCCGGACCGCGCTTACCGACTCCGACGACGATGTGCGCGAGGCCGCGGCCGAGGCCTTCGACTCTCTGCAGCAGATCCTCGGCAAGCGGGCGGTCGACCAGGTGCTGCCTTATCTTCTCAGCCTCCTTCGGTCAGAGGAAGAGGCCGAAAACGCTCTGTCTGCGCTGCTCACTCTCTTGACCGAGACTACCCGGTCCAACATCATTCTTCCCAACCTCATTCCAACGCTTATCGCACCCCCGATTTCTGCTTTCAATGCCAAGGCCCTTGCGTCGTTGTCGAAGGTTGCCGGTGCTGCTATGAACCGCCGTCTCCCCAACATCATCAACTCGCTCATGGAAAACCTTGTCAGCTGTATAGACGACGACCTCCGCGCGGATCTCGATGCCTCCTTCCAGACCGTCATCCTTTCCATCGACGAATATGACGGACTGAACACCATCATGAACGTGCTGCTTCAGCTCACAAAGCACGAGGACCACCGCAAGCGTGCGGCCACGGACCTGCAGCTGGCCAGATTCTTCGCGGCTACGGATGTCGACTACTCGCGCTACAACCAGGACATCATCCGCTCCCTCCTCGTCTCGTTCGATGATCAAGATATGGGTGTTGTCAAGGCCGCGTGGAGCGCCCTCAGCGAATTTACCAAGAAGCTCAAGAAAGAGGAGATGGAGGCGCTGGTGATCTCGACTAGACAGACCCTGCTTTTGGTAGGAGTCGCTGGCTCGAATCTCAGGGGCTTTGAGCTACCCAAGGGCATCAACGCCATCCTCCCCATCTTCCTCCAGGGGTTGATGAATGGATCGCCAGACCAAAAGACGCAGGCGGCCCTCGCCATCTCCGACATGGTGGACAGGACGAGCGAAGCATCACTGAAGCCCTTCGTCACGCAAATCACCGGTCCGCTGATTCGTGTCGTGTCGGAGCGCTCGACCGAAGTCAAGTCTGCTATTCTGCTCACCCTAAACAACCTCTTGGAGAAGATGCCGATGGCTCTCAAGCCGTTCTTGCCACAACTGCAGCGCACTTTTGCCAAATCGCTAGCCGACCCGACAAGCGAACAGCTCCGCACTCGCGCCGCCAAGGCACTCGGTACGCTCATCAAGTTCACACCTCGTGTCGATCCTTTGATAGCCGAGCTTGTCACTGGCTCCAAGACATCAGATCCTGGCGTAAAGACAGCAATGCTCAAGGCACTGTTCGAGGTCATCAGCAAAGCAGGCGCCAACATGGGAGAGCCTTCCCGTGCTGCCGTCCTAGGCCTGATCGACATGGAAACGGATGAGAAGGACGATGCCATGACAATCACAAACGCCAAGCTCCTGGGCGCGCTTGTCAAGAATGTGCCAGCAGATGCGGCCAGCAACCTCATCAAGACACGGGTCCTGACTCCTACCCCAAGCAGCTCGTCCATGCTGGGGTTGAATGCCGTCCTGCTTGAGTCCCCCAAGTCGATCCTTGAGAGCCCATGGGCCGATGAACTGCCCGACATTCTCTGCCAAGGAATGTCCAGCAAGACTGTAAGTTATCTATCCACTTCCGGCCTCTCCCTCGTTTGTCAAATTTGATCCCAGCTCCTAACGCCAACATCACGCAGGCCATGATCGCGGACAATTCGATCCTCGCCGCAGGCAAGTATCTGCTATGTGACACTCCGAAGTCTTTCGAGAGCGCCAAGTCGGTATTTGAAGCTCTAGCGGAGGTGATCCAGCCTGGCAAGCCCACCGACTCCCGCCGTCTGTCACTCGTCATTGTGCGCACAGTCTCACGCACCAACATCGACATGGCTCGCGCACATCTGCCACTTCTCGCACCACCGGTCTTCGCCTCGGTTCGAGACCCCGTGATCCCGGTCAAGCTAGCTGCCGAGGCTGCCTTTGTGGCTCTTTTCAACGTGGCCGACGACGAGTCCAAGGTATTTGACAAGTTCATGGCGGGCGCCGGGGCAGAGCTGCCACCAAACACGAAGCGGAGCATGCAAGACTACTTTAAGAGGGTTGCTCTTCGCCTAGGAAGCCAGGTGCGTGAGCGCAGGGAGGCTGAGGGCGGCACCGGAGGGCTTGGCTTATCAAACGACGAGGTGGAGGATGAGAAGGAGATCTGGAGCGTAGGCAAGGTGGACGATGGGGCCAACGTTTTTGGCCAGGATTGATCAAAACATCATGCGGCATAGCGGTTGTAAAAAGTCGGCCTCACCGCTCTCCTTAAGGGTTTGGGGGCGGCTTTTGGGCAGGACAATACTTGCTGGGCTGGGCAGCGGGTCTCAGATATTCGTCTCTAGACTTGAACATATTCCGTTACGCGTTGTATACAGATGTGATGTACTTTGCAAATGAAGCGAGGATTATGCAGCACTCAAGCCATGGTAAAGCAAATTCTCGACAAGGTGATTCTACGACCCACGTAAATGTTGTGAGGGAGTGCTTGACAAGAGGCTGAGGTCTGCGCTACGGAAAAACCAAGATTGAGGTACTCAAGCGGACGGAGAGAAGCATGCTACAAGAATTCACCGAAGAATTGAGAACGGCCTGTCTCCAGCCACGCACGGGCCCATGAGCTGAAGCAGCCAGTCACATGACACCCCACCCAGCACCCCCGCCTGCTGACTCAACCATCCTCTTGCCTTGCCCTAGCGATTCCCGAACCCACACAATCGAATCCGCGTGGGAAAGGAAAAGAAGCGACAGCCCTCTCACTGCCAGCGAGAAATTTCCAACCTTTCATCAAACGACCAGATTCGGCAAACGGCCATCACCCTGAACAGCAATTCAAGATGTGAGTATGGCTCCTCGCGACGACAGGGCGCTCCTTTTCCGACGGGCGCAGAATCGATGGCCGCCGCCAGGGCGAGAAGCCGGCCGACGACGACGCACACTACGCCCCGCCTGGCTGGCCGCCGCCGACAGCGCCAGAAACACACATGATGTGGAGGAAGCCTCGTTGCCGGAACCTGCGGACTAACAGGGTCTGCCTCTGCCATCTAGGGTCAACCTGACGACTCAGAAGCGTCTTGCTGCGTCCGTTCTGGACTGCGGCAAGAACAAAATCTGGCTGGACCCCAACGAGGTCTCCGAGATCAGCAACGCCAACTCCCGCCAGACCATCCGCAAGCTTGTCCAGGATGGCCTCATCATCAGGAAGCCCGTCACCATGCACTCAAGAGCACGCGCTCGTGAGCTGAACCTCGCCCGCCGGATCGGTCGCCACCGTGGCTTCGGAAAGCGCAAGGGTACCGCCGATGCCCGTATGCCGACGTACGTTGTGCCCCCATCGATTCAGGACAGACAGCCCGCGGCAGAATGAAGGATCAGAGGGGGAGGCATCTTGTGGACACCGAGGGAGATGAACCGCAACTGGGATCCGAATTTTGGCAGGAGTCGGGAACGATCTCCAATCCGGATTGGCCTGAAACACATTTGGCTGACCTGCTCCCCCGCTTTCCAGTCAGGTCCTCTGGATGCGCCGCCTGCGTGTCCTCCGCCGTCTCCTGGTCAAGTACCGTGCCAGTGGAAAGATCGACAAGCACCTATACCACGAGCTTTACCACTCTGCCAAGGGTAACGCCTTCAAGCACAAGCGCGCCCTTGTTGAGCACGTACGTTCCGACAGCCCTTCACCGCCAACGACAATCAGACCCGCGCTGCAACGCTGCCGATTCCGGCAGCTCCGTTTCTCGTCCGAACGCACTGCTGACCCTCTGACCCCCTTCACAGATTCACCGCGCCAAGGCCGAGAAGCAGCGCGAGAGGATGCTCAAGGAGCAGATGGACGACAAGCGTGCGAAGACCAAGGCGGCCCGCGAGCGGAAGCAGGAGAGGCAGGCGGCCAAGAGGAACGCTCTGGCCGGCGAGGACGAGGAGAAGTGAGGGAACGCACAAAAAACCTTTTTCGGGAAAACCTAGAATCAAAGGCAGTCTTTTCACTGAATGATGACGGACTGGCGGCCTGCATTCGGAGTAATCGGTTGGGTCCTTTTTTCTTTTTATCGTCAACGAGCTTTTCTTTTGCCTGGTTGTTTATGGCCAGAACGCAATTCCACGCGGTGACGGGGGCTTTTTTCTAGCATGTGTCGATGGTATCGAAAAAAAAGGGATATTTAACGGTGTATCGCGGGGCGTGATGGTTCCGCTAGTCCTACCAACTGTTGCTCTCGAGTGTGAATGACGCAACGCCCAAAATTCTTGACTTCCACGTCCGTGCCTCCGAGTTGCAATCCGCTCACGATGTTTACGTGGCAAGCAGCTGTGGTAACTACCCCAGGTATCCATATACCTACCATGCACCGAAGAAGATAGACGGCTGAGATGCAAAAATTGGGACAGGCTGTGAGAACTGCCGTGTGATTCCTACTACTAGAAGTGTCCTACTGCCTTCTTCCTACAACCATGCCGACAAGGTAACACTCGACACCACCTGCACACACCCCAGGATCCAGCATCTCAGGCAGGTGCAAAAATCCTCAGGTCGCCCGTCAAATCGCACACCATGTCGACTGACAGGGTCTAGCATATCCGTCGGCCTCGAAACTAAAGGTCCAACGATGCCAGTAGATTGGCTTGCAGCCGTCTCGAATTGGAGAAATACGAGATGCGTATGCACAGGATTCAGCTAGGTGTCAGAGGAAAAGAGGATGGAAGGGGGGGGGGGGGGGGG